CCCTCTCCACCCTCATCCCCCTCCTCACATCCTCCGCCGACCCCAGACTTCGAGGTAGAGTACCACCTCTCCCAATTCTCCCCCATCAAGCCATCCACAACCCACCCACTGACCCCCAACATGCAGAAACCAACCTCCAAACCCACGACCTCGCCCTCCCCACCCAACCACAACCCTCTCACGCCGCCCAGCAGCAACGACCTACAACCCAACCGTTCCTCATACTGACCAGCGCATCCCTCCACGACCCGAACGCGACGGAGAGGATAAACCGCTTCTCGACGCTGACATCGAGCCCCGTGCCCACGATCGCATTCCTGCTATCTACTTCGGAACAGAGTGATGCAACCGGGTTGCACCGCTTTATGGAACTGCAGACACAGTTCGTCACCCCTTCCCTCCCACCATCAACCCCTCTAACAACCCCCCCCCCCTCCCAGCCTCCACGCCATCCCCACTCCACCCCCCCTCCTCCCCATCCCCTCCCCGCATCACCTCCTCCCCATACTGCGCACCTACACCACCACACCCACACCCTCACCCTCACCATCGGCCCCGCCACCGCCACCCGCAGCAACGCTCTCGCTCCTCCCGCACGTGACGGCCACGGCTCCCGCGAGGCCGTTGTCGACGCACACGACGAACGTGCTGAGCGATCTGTGTCGGTCGGTCAGAGAAGTGGCCGTGCTGGCCGGGACGGAGGGAGGGAGGGGGGTGCTGGGGGAGTGGCTGGGGGAGGAGGAGGGGAAGGGGGTCGCGGAGTTTTGGGAGGGGGAGTGGATGGTTGAGGGGTTTTGATCTGTGGGAGGGGATGGATGGATGGATGAGCGAATCGGGAAAGAGATTTGGGTTGGGGGGAGCGGAGGTTGAGAGGAGGAGGTGCTGCGTCGCTGTTGTTAGCTATGTGTCCGGGTCATCCATTTGGGCTGGAATGTGTTTTTGGGGTGGTTCATTGGCATGTTGCTTGCTTGGGCATGCTCTGCGAGGAATGATAGCCTGTAAATTTGACGATTGCCCATGTGCAAGTGCTCCATTGAATCTTCGTATCAATACAAGAAGTGCAATTCAATCCAACTCCGCATAACCCGATCGACAGCGATCTCGCCCATGTGGTTCCCTATATCTCCAGCCGTGGTTCCTGGCCCTGGACACGTCCAATAACGATATTGGCGGCATATTTAGGGATGACCTCATCATCGTGCAGCATCTCGAACTCTATCACAATTGTCAGCTCACACATTTGCATTGAAGGGAGGAGATGGGACAAACCTTCAGAAGCATCCTTACCCATATGGCTAAATAGCGCCTGTGGCCCCCCTGGATGTTCATCCAACCAGTTCGTCACATCAAGCACAATACCCTTGACCACAATCCACAGATCGTCCTTCTTATTGTGCTTCGCCACTTCCTCCATGCTATACTCCTTCTCCGGCACCTTGAACTCAACGGGATCAGACGGCTTGCTCACTTTCCCCGGATCCTTGCTGTCTGCCTTGTCACCCTTCATTACCGGACCAGCAGAGCCCTGCGATTGCTGCTCTTGCTTCTTGCCTCCTGCAGCAGGCGAGTAGCTTGCGTCGGAAGAAGATGAAGATGCATTAGAGCCATCTGCCCACTCCACTGAGATCTTCCCTGGAGTCGAAGGGTCAATGTGCAGGGAGATCTGTCCGAGACGCTGAGAAGCGGTGGAGATGCCACCTGTGATAACTTTCTGGAAGAGGTACTGGCTGGCGCTGCTGCCGGCGACACGGCCGTAAACGACACAGCCGAGAAGGGAAGAGCCACCAAGCCGGTTGGCGCCGTGCACACCACCTGCGAGTTCCCCGCAAGCGTAGAGGCTCTCGAACGGTTTGCCCTCGGAATTTAGAACCTCTGCTTTGTCATTGATTTCAATACCACCCATAGTAAAATGTAGGACTGGCTCCATAACGGCGACGTGGAAGGTATCCTCGATGTTGAAGGGAAGGTTGTGGAAGAACTTCTTGCCGAAAGGGTCTTTTTGTTTGCCATCGGCAATCTCGTTGTAGTTGGAGAAGGTCTTCTGGAGAGTGGTTTCTGAGCATCCGATTTCTTTGGCTAATTCCTTGCCGCTCATCTTCTTCATCAGGCCACGGCCAGAATAATGGCGAGTATGAAAGTCGAGCACGTTGGAAGCTTTGGAGTTGAGAACAAGGCGGATGGGCCACTTCTTGGCTTCCTTCTGCTTCCACATTTCGCCGGATACATAGTCACGGTGACCCAGCTCATCTGAAAATCGTTGACCTTCACCGTTGAGCAATAGACCACCCTCACCACGGAGAGCTGTATATCTGTTAGCGAAAGGCTTGGTGTCATTTAGACGTAGGCAAACCTACCTTCGGCAGCCAAAAACTTCCACTTCGAGCCTGGGTCTTTGGGGTCGACCAGACCTGTTGGATGCACTTGGACCTTGTCAAGGTCGATTCCGTTGCCACCGATCTCCATCAACATCTTCAAGCCATCACCAGTAGCGTGCGTGCCGTTTGTGCTGGCCAGATCAAATGTATCGGGTCTATGTTTCTTCAACAAAGATGAGTCGCTGAAATCAGCAGCGTAGCCTCCGGTAGCCAGAACAACCACACCATCAATGGAGCTCTCCTCGCCACCGAACTCATATGTGACTCCAGTGATCTTGTTTCCTTCTTTGTTGATCTTCGTAACACGGGCTTTCTTGATGATTTGAATCCGCTCTGGGTCACTCTCAACCAATTCTTCTAGACGCTGCATTAAGGCGTAGGTTATTGCCATGCCTGGGAATTTGGCATCGTGCCCTCTGTGTGTTCGGGGTTGGGAGTGGCCACTAGCTAGTTGTAAGCATGTTGTCTATCCCAATTAGACGAAGAACCCATACCCCAACCGTGAGACGAGGGTCAAATCCAGGTTGAACACATCCTGAAGCCATTCTACGGCCGAAGCGGATTGGTATGTGAGGACTTTGATCAGGTCAGGGCGTGCCTTGTCTCTCGCCGATTTTATTGTGTCATCGTAGAATTGTTTTACGCTGTCTTGGATCTTCTCGTCGACTTGTGTTCTTGTCAAGGCAGCATTGATGCCCGAGGTTGCTTTTGTAGAGTTTCCGCCAAAGAAGTCTATGTAATCGGTCAGTTTGTTGAGGCTGGCAGAGGGAACTCAGAAACCCACTGTTCTTGTCGAGTAGCAAGACGTTGCCACCAGCGAGGTAGATGGTATGGGCAGCGCTCAGGCCAGACACTGTGTTTCAATCAGTCTCGGGCACGGCGGAGTGGGGTGAAATGCTGCTTACAGCCACCTCCAACCACGATTACTCTGGGCGCCATTGTGAACAGGATGTTTAGAGGAAGCGGTAGGATATTGTTGAGCGTGAGAAGGAGACGAGGAAAAGTGGTTTCAGAAGGGAAGGGATTGGGAGTCTTTGACTGTTGACAATGGACTTTCGATTTAGTGGCGTAGTATCTCCGAGCCTCGGCTGCGCTGGTCTGCCTATGAAATCATTGAAGGTGATTGGTCAACCATTACCCACAGCCTGTTGGTGCATTTGCATATGACCGGTGACTCAAGTTCACTTTCCAAGTCCAATATCAGGTGGTCTTTGAATGAACGAAAGGATGGTACGTGCTACGCGTTTCGAGCGTCATTTCCGGAGCGCGGTGGGGTTGCAACTGGTTTACTTGTAGATCTGCTGGATAGTACTAGTACTAGAGGTCTACATCCACAACAGTGATGATCAAAATCCTACACACAGAGTAGCTCTCCATGTGCTCCCAACTTCTCGTTTACCATGTGCTCTCCAAAAGGCTTCTGCTTCTCCCGAGACTCCAACTCTAAGGTAGCATTGCCAAGGATATTGACCTGAACAGGCAGTCGAACTTCTTTTCCATTGAGTTTTCATTGCACATAATCAAAATTGAGTACGATGTTCGCCATGGCTTCTGTCTTACCCAATCCACTGAAAACGGTGAAGATTGCTGCAGTCATATTGGGGCATCTCGGAAACCCGCCATCCCTCTCCATATGTGCCCAGGTCAAGACTGATGCCACAACGACTTTGTCGGCACCCACTCTACCATGCAAACTTAGGACCCCGACTATCAAGTCATAAAGCGCGACGAAGGAGCTACCACTCATCTACCATCCCACCAATTTCGAGAAAAAGGATAACATGGCCCGTGCTTAGGATACCCCCAGGCGTTTCCTTACCCATTTTGGTCAAAGACTCATCATGCTGCATAAAAGGTTCCTTGATGCTGTATTGTACTCTGATTCCCACTGCGTCGACGAAGAGCTTTAGCTGCCAGGCCGTCCGGAACCAATAGGAAGTTTGCAAACAAAATGGTTTCATCTCTAGTCCAGAAGTGATGATTAGTCTCCACAGCTTTGGACAATTCTAGACGTCCTATCCTTCGCCGAAGCACTCGAAAAGATCTTCGCGCCTCGTCGAACGGTTGCAAATCCTGCTGATCACGTTTAGTCAATTCGAATGATATCCGACGAGTGCATCTGCGCTGGGAAGCGACATTTTATACCCTCGTTATACCTTCAACTTCTAAGCTTGTCAATGGCGAATCGTAAGCCTTGCAGGTTAGCGCATATGTTCGTTAGTCAAAGGGTAGTCAGACGTAGTCACGAGAGCTTGAATATGGAACGTCATACGAGTGAAATGAGAGGAATCGGAAATCTCCACCAGCGACTACGAGTGCTTGAGGCTGCGGTACCAATGGCTCGAAAGTGGCCTGGCAGGCTGACCCGGATGTTTTGGGGGTGACGTGGCCAAATGTAATACCAGGATTATGCGGCAACACTTCAGGTATGAAACCTTGCAGCAAGCTGATTGGAGGACACATGGATCCTACCCTATCACACCACTTTCACTCTATCTTTTCATTCTTCGCGGTGATGCAATAGCTGTATTTCAACCTCACAACGTGTACAAGAGGGCAGCATGGCCCAATGCGAGGTAGGCGTGGTGCTCTGGAGAGAAGAGACTCCAAATCTGGCCTGCGACCATGGATCCGATGACAATCCTCGCGGGCGGACGTCACCAAGAGAAGTCGGGAGCTTCATCAGAATCGGATGTCCTTAATGCGACGCAGAATATACCAGGAAAACCGCCCAAGACGGACACCTTGCTCATGACAATGGTATGCCAAAAGAGAGTACGCAGCGCGCTCCCACAGTGGCTCATTCTACCTCGTCTCAAGTGACAGAGGAACCGGAAACCTTTCCACGATCTCACCTGCGGACTTTACTGCTCAAGTACCACACACTTGACGCTATATTGCAAATGAAACCCCATGTCATAAACAGGTGCATGGATCTCATCCACACCGAGCCACCGACGGGACCAATGGCCAACAAATAGGCGCACGTCCATCGACATAGTCGCAGACAAGGGTAAAAAGCACGCAGAAATGATTCGGAACTTCAATACCGACGTTCTACACGCCGTTCTAGACGTATGCTCCGATGCGGCAGAATGCACGAACGCTATTCCGAATCACACACGGGGTGAGCCAGCCTTGACCGCGGGTGAGCTGCAAATCGTAACCCAGCCACCACTCTATGACCGCATTCGCGCGAGAAAACTTGTTATAGTGATGCTTTAAGAAATGACACGAGCTTTCGTTAATAGGCTCGCTTTTCCCCGACTCTGGGAGCGCTGCCGAACATCTACCTGGGTGGGAAGCAGCCTTTCTTTTACCAAGGCTCACACGTCGGCTTCACTTCATGAAGAATGTTTGTGTGGGGGTGTAAGCTTTCTGCCTCCTATGTAGCCACTCTGTGTACTTTCTCTCGACTAGAAATGCGTGGTAGAGTTAGGCTGTCTCCAAACTCCGAAACATGCGCTGAGATTGCCACGGTGAGTCTGTCAATCGCCACTCACTGTTCTCCATAAAGAACTCCATTGCATGTTCTACGCCACGGTAACTGGGAATTGGCATACGCAGCTAATGCTGCCTGGTTCCGCTCGGCAAACTCAAACAGCGGTGGTCGATGGCTCTGTACGCCTTTCCCAGGCTTCTGGTGTGCAAGAAAGGATTAATTTGATGGAGACCGCCAACACGTTCCACCGCTACTGAAACGAGAACCCGACTTTCATGTCTACCCACCCACCAAAGGATCTGTCCTCGGAGATCTGACCGACATATATTAGCATTCCTTCGTGAACGCGGAAGTGCCAGAATGACTCGACAGGCACTAGACTGGTTCAATCATCGTCCCACAGCAGACCCTGGCGCTGGTCGTGACTAGGAATCAACCGCAAGCCGCATAGGACATATCGCACGGTTCGGAACTGGAACTCAGAGCCAGCACCTAGTAGCTATCGAGATCCCATTGTAGAACCTGTCTCAATCGTGTGAACCCTGCCCACAGCGTAGGAGCGGACATCAGCTATCATTGACTGCGGTCCCGAGTGTCTCTGACTCCTGGGCTACGCTAGAGGAAACAGGCGTCCTCCGACTCTTTCACAGCTAGATGTATGTTCTATAGCATCCGACAATGAGCTCTTCCAGGAACTCAGGAAATCTTACCTGAGCTCGCCAAGCGAATGGTGGGAGTTCTTCCCTTCAAAAGAGTCCGAAGCATCAGTTTTGTACAGGTAAGAAACCCCTTACGTGCGAGATCATGGTTACCGAGACTATCACTCATACGAAGGACCGTTTTTAGCGTCACATAAAGGATCTCGTAGACATTCGTAAGGTCCCCAATATGCCGCCGCAAACCAAGAGGGACGAATAAATTTACCAACCTTGCGATCTCATTCCTCCCGTAGGCGATAATTTAATGGCTCACATCAAAACCTGCGTGGCTATGATCAAGCCTGCGCAGGATTTCCTCGACGACATACGCCGCGCCCCTGACGTTAGTCTCAAGCCTCACTCCACTAGTGGACGAGGAAGTGGAATTCACAGGTTTGAGGGAGTCCCGGGCTGGCGGGACCCCGAGCCCTCTTGTTGTACTTTCTCCTTTTCTCGTAAAAGAAGTGGGATTGTGCGGACACGTCTGCGGAAAAGGTCTGTTTCGAGGCCACTGGGATTGCTTGGAAATGCTGCCGGCAAAGGTTGTCACCTTCTCATTTCAGGTAGCCAAGAATCGACGCGCTTAGTAGGATGGTACGCAATAGTTGGTCAAAGGCCACCCATATCCCAGAACTCCAAAGAGGGTTCCAGTTCCCCAGCGATCTCGTCCCAGGTCTGCCAGTCCATATCTAGGCTCGGAATGTCGCCGAAGGCGTTGTTATTGGAGTTATCTGCCGTAAACAAAAAAGGTTCCTGAGGTGTCCAAGTTGAGACATTCTCGCTGTTGTCAACTTGTCTGAAAGGGGCGGACAAAGTCAAGGCTGTCGCGGATGTCAGATCAGCGTGTGCATTCGTCGATGACAGGGAAGTTTGGCGATGAAGCTCATCGGCTCGGTTTCTTTGCACTGCAGAGGCCAGCACCAACAGTTGCTGGTACCGAGGATCTCTCCGAGCCGCCTCAGGGAGACCATCGAAAGATCTTTTGGCTGACGACCATGCCCGCTCATAGATTGGTTCCCAACGGCGCGCGCATACCTCGCCGAACACGACGCGAAGAGCATTCCACGGTGGCTGCCGGCCTTGTATTTGCCAGCTCCAGCCGCTCCAGCTGGGTTCGCTCTGTAGGGCGTAGGTGTATTCGATGATTGACAGCGACGACATGAATACTTTATTGCTTTGTGAGGTGTCGGCAGGCTGTGGTTCTGTTGCTCTGGCAACGTGATGCTTGGTATGTAGGATGAGGTCGACTTTGGTGAGAAACAGCCGTGCACTTGTTGCCACGAAGGAGTGGAGTGGCTGTTTGGGGTTGAGGTGCTTAAGATAGGTGTCTTCGATCGTTGCTTGGGACTGCTGGAATAACTCGAGTCTCTGATCCATGTTAGGAGGCAAGGCGTAGCTGGCGCCCGTCAGGAATTGAAGTCGGCGGGATAGCTTCCAAATTTCGCAATGAATGAGAAAGACGGTCATGTCAGTCCATCTCTCCGCAACGACAGGCGGTTTTGACATCCCGGGGTCAAGGAATCCATCATCCGTATTTGCTGGTATCTCGGTGTCAAACATCCCCTCTGATAGCTTGTATTTTGAAACCTGCAGATCTTCAGATCGCGAATCGATGAAGCATATCTGCCACCACAGTCTACGTCGCATCTCTATCTCGAAGGGGGTGATATTGGCGAAGTTTGAGCCATCGCGGTGGAGTTTCATGGAGACTGATACCCTAACCAAGGCACCGGCCAAAAACCATGCAGACCTCGTCTCGCCGGTGTGTTGAAGAACGCCTAGATATATCGTGAGTGCCTGAAGTACGATTATGTCAGGATTATCCAGAAAATTGGCTTGCTCAAGTGCCTGTTCAGTGCCAAGTCGATAGCGAGCAACGATTTGGTCTTTGTCAGCGTTGAAGTTCATACGGACCTTTATCCCAAAGGATCAGCCAGACAATCATGTCCAATCTTGGGTTAGGACCGCTTACCTCATCGTCCTCGAGCGACATGATTGCGGCCAAAGAAATGACTAGCACGAGAGCCTGCATGCTGGGGCCGAGAGAGTGATAGCTGCCTCTTAGTTCGCGGTTGACCTTCGTCATGGTTGGCACATGTAAGACTTTCATGAACGGATCGACGTTGTCCATGTAGATCTGCCAAAGAAACAGCATCTGTGATGGAAGAGGATATAGATCCTCCCGCTGATGCCCAGCAGATGTATGTCTAAGGAGGAAATTGTAGAAGCCGTTGTGACGTCGATTACCAGACATTGACACCGACGATGAGCTGCTGTCCTCATCAAAGTGGGTAGCTGTGGGCCCATGGACGGCTTCGAAGATGTGCTCCACCTTGTATACATTTCAGCGAGGAATATGCATTAGAGTGCCAGTCACAAATGCCTAGCTCGACTCCCGTCGGTAGAGAAAAGCAAAGGGGAGCAGATTTAGAGCATACCTCTTTACAAAATACCGTCCAGAAGCGATCTGCTACGACTAAATCGCCGTCATGAGCCACCACTAATTCCCCTAACTCGTCAGAAACTGGCGCCGAATCCGAAGTGCCCTTTGCCATGCCAGAATCAGTTTGCATTCCATCGCGCGGGGTGGGTGGGTTTCCACTAGCTGATTGGCTATTAAGAGCGAGTGGATGGTCTAGCCCGGCTGTCTCGCTTAATGTTACACTTGTCGTGCTTGTTGACTTCTCCACCGGGTGGTTTTCCTGATTTACTGCTGTCGCATGCTCAACCTGTGAGCCAAGGTCACCGACCATGGCTTCCAAGCGTCTGAGGCGGCCCAAGAGTTCGGTCTGCTTCTGTGTTGGGGGGTTGGGATAGTTTGCATCGCGACCGCGGCGGGGAATACGACCAGAGACGGGAAAGACACACTCGGTCTTGTTCCTGGTACAAGGAGCACAAGGATGGCGTCTATCGCAGCGCACTTTGCGCCGGCGACAATTGACGCAGCTCCACACCTTCAAGCCTTCTGCCCGGTTGGTGTCATAGGCACCTGCACCGTTAGGTTCTGGAGGCTGCAATGACATCACTGCGGTAGATGACTTGGCCGCAGGTTCGGCCGTGTGTCTTTTTGGCGTAGTTTTTCAATATGAGCAGAGGGGAGAAGTGGTATGTTGATACTAATTTTCTGCATTGGCGAAATCTCGCTCTCGGACACGGGGCTTCGGTATTGGGTTCGCTCTAGTCGCCTTTTTAGCCCCTTTCTCTTTAATCGCATCTTTGATTGGTCAATGGGCCGAATTACTCTGCAGCAAAACTAGATGGCGACAAGGTGAAGAGGAATCTATAAGAGGAGCCTAGCATGGCCCTTTTTAGGAAGAACCGGTCATTTACTATCAATTCGACCTCTGAAATGTTGTCTGGAGTTCCTTTGGATTTGTTATTGGTAAGTCAAGACAAGTCCGGTTGACTTCATATAAAGGCCAGAGCTTACATGGCAACCCAGTCTTAATATTTCGCTTCTCTATCAGACTCCTGAAGAAGAAATTCGTCATACCAGTCTCAATGGTAAAAACAGTTGTCATCCTTGGTGCTGGCTGGGCCGGGCTGCCACTCGCCCACAAACTGCTCAAGTACACCCTTCCCAAAGCCAAAGACGGCCTGAAAGTGGTCCTCGTCTCGCCCAATTCGCACTTCTACTGGAACCTTGCCGCCGTCCGCGGCGTCATCCCTGGCGCCATTCCCGAGGAGCAGCTGTTCCTCCCCATCGAGCCAGGCTTTGCCCAACACTCGGCCGAGAACTTCGAGTTCGTCCTGGGCAAAGCCGAACGCCTCGACCCGGAGAGGAACACGGTTGAAGTGGCCGGAAAAGACAGAACCCAACATTCTCTCTCCTACGACCAACTTATCATCGCTACCGGCTCCCAGATCCGCAGCAACCTGCCGTTCAAATCCGTTGGCACACACGAAGAGACTCTCGCAGCTCTGCACTCGCTTCAGAAGCAGATTGACTTCGCAAAATCCATCGTGCTTGCCGGCGCCGGACCGACTGGCGTAGAAACAGCCGGCGAGCTGGCCGCCGCTTACGGTGAGGAGAAGGACATCACGCTCATCATGAGTGGGGAGCACGCTCTGCAGGCGACCCGTGTTCTGCCAAGCGTCAGCCAAATTGTAGAGAGAGACCTGCAGAAGCTGGGTGTGAAGTTGGTGCGCAAAACACAGGTGGAGGGTGTGCGGACGAACGCGAAGGGAGAAGAGGATGCGGCCGTGCAGACAACCCTCACACTTTCGAATGGCTCTACCCTCGTCGCCGACTTGTACCTGCCACTATTTGGCGTACAGGTGAACACAGGTTTCGTTCCCGAGAGCCTACTTGACTCGGCAGGGAATCTTGTTCTGGACAAGACGATGCGTGTAGTGGGGACGAAGAACGTATGGGGAATCGGGGACGTGGGAAACCTTGAGGTGAAACAACTTACGGTGACGGATGCGCAGATCATCTACCTGTCGGCCGCTCTGGATTCTGTTTTGACTGGGGAGGGTGGACAGGTCAAGGAGTATAAGCCGTCGGGAAAGACGATGATATTCATCACTATGGGCAAGAAGTACGCCATAGGGCAGATGGGTGGATGGAAACTCTGGGGCTGGGTGGTATCCTATGTTAAAGGCAGGACGCTCTTTGTTGACACCGCCCAGGGGTATGTGGGTGGGAAACAGTTGAGGCATGCGTCGATGTAGCACAGTAAGCGTGTTGCACATCATGGGGGAGTGTCCGGATGTTCCAATTGATGTCGACAACGGGCTTCCCAGGCCTGAGCCCCGTAACACCACCCGTTGCACACATTGTTGAGATCGCCTAAAAGATTCACAAGCTTAGAAAGGGAAATGGAGATATGATCATATGATACAAACGGGCAAATTACCGAATCATACCCCAAAAGTATGGATCCTTACCGAATCATACCCCTAATTACTGAATCATACCCCTACACCAAATTTCACCCAAATATGGGGTATGATTCGGTAATTTATCATTGCTTGGGGTATGATTTGGTAAGTTATCAAAGTGGCCTCAAACTACTGTTGTACGAAGGAGATAATCCGCGATCTAACTTATTCGATCATAGAAATAAGGGAGTTTCTCCGATCGCATTTGGTGAGAATTCTATCAGCCTAAAAATATCAGACGAAAGCCGAGTGGGCGAAATTTCGAGCCCGGGGGTGTCCGCACTTCACGCTGTAGACACCCCTATTCGGGTCCCGTAGGGCCCCGTAAGGCCCCCGAAGGAATAATTCCTACTACGCTGCGCAACGGGGCGGGGTAAGCTTCGGGGGTCAAACCCCGCCCCGAACTCCGCCCCGAACCCGCCCGGTTACGCAGCGTAAATACCACCGTCATCAATAATCAAGTCGACGACTACTACTAAATGTGAGCTCAGTAAGCTTACCGCTACCATTACCTTCATTAAACTCTCTCATATCAGAAAGCCATTATTTAAGACCCTCATCAAATCATACCCCAAGCAATGGCAAATTACCGAATCATACCTCATATTTGGGTGAAATTTGGTGTAGGGGTATGATTCAGTAATTAGGGGTATGATTCGGTAAGGATCCATACTTTTGGGGTATGAATTAGTAATTCGCCCGATACAAACCGTTCTACGGAGGTCTGCACCTGATAGCAGCCCTAACCCTACCTTAGCTACCTGCCACGGCCGGACGAGTTTCCGAGTGGGGGCCATGTTTCTGTGCTGGTGTCGCCAAGCCGAGTGGGTGAGCAGTACACAGTTCTCTCGTGGCATGATGTTGTTCTGGGCATGCATCAAACATGGCTAATGAGCCATCAGACCACGATGCCGCTCTATTGGCACGGTTGAATAACATCAGGCACTCGAGCGTCTCCTTTGGCTCATCCAACAGTCTTTCGGCCCCAGCAGGTGTCAGTGAGCTCGACGACACTCCTGAAGATCTCATTACCCGCTTCGAAAGGCTACATGGCCAGAAATCTGTCGATAGTCATGAAAAGCCTCCATTGTTAAATCCTATCACAGAAGAAGAAAGCAGACAACCTTCTCCCACGATCGAGGAACTTCTAGGCCAGCTGGCTCCAGAAGAGCAGTTCACTTTAAGTTCTACAGATCTTAAAGAAGCATACGAGCTTCTGGCGGAGGCAAAATGCGCGCTTCCTGACGAAGATGCCCCAAACAAAAACCCAGAGGGTAGAAGGTCTGCTGCAAGCCTGAGCAGAAGGCCGAGGGGATCTACAGAGGCTATCAAGCCTGAGCAAGATGAAGAAGCTGAAGCAGAGGCCTCTCTTCAGCGCATCTTGGACGAGGTAGAGCTCGAACGGCAGCAAGAGGTTGTATCGACCGTCCCTTCATCCCAACCCGACAGGGTGCCCGCGTCCCCAGCTCCAGCGCCGCCAGACTCCTTTGCATCCCTAGTGTTTCCTACTATTCCTGATTTGCCACTGCCATCCATGACCCTTCCCTCTGCGCCCACCGCAGCACCCTCCACGCGCAAGCCCATATCCAAATCACCTGGATTCTCCGATCAAGACATCGACTCTTGGTGCATCATCTGCTGTGCCAACGCGTCTGTCAAATGCTTCGGATGTGATGGTGATCTATACTGCTGGGGCTGCTGGAGAGAGGGACACGTTGGGGAAGGCGTGGGCTTGGAAGAAAAGAGCCATGTTTGGGAGCGAGCGGTGAAACGGAAAGGATAGGAGTCAGGCCGTTTCTACATCAGTCTGGCCAACGCTCCACAACCTAGTCCCTAGAAGCTAGAGGGTGCTCATGAGTCATGACGCGCCGGCGCATTCTTAGCCGTCAGCAGCATATGGCCATTTGCTGGCTCGTGCCTACATTGCTAGTCTCGCTTGCTAATTGAAGGTAGAGATTGGGCCGTATCTTTAATTTGGAACCTGCTCTTCAAAACTTTCCTGGTGGCCACTACGTCTAGAGGTCCTGATCGGACAGACATTGCGCCTGTTGAAAAAGCTGTAGCCTCAGGGCCAGTATGTTGTCGAATTTCGAAGACAGTTTTGTTGGCATCCTGTCTTGGCGGCTAGAAATTGTGCCGTCTCTGACCACGCCAACTTCATGCCAAGACATAACTATTGAATCGACCTTGAATCTCATACCGAGCATGACTTTGCGTATAGGTATACAATCACTCGGTTCGCAAGATCAGGGTTTACAATGAAAGTCTTCTTCCCCGCGAACTTCATGATAAGCTGTCGACCCAACTACATTGGCTTCATTCGCATGGTACCCAATCCCTGCGAATATATATGAATATGTCTTTGGCTCTAGAATCAAAACAGAATGAAAGGGACCCCTCCTTTCCTCAGTCCGCAATGGTGGTAAACGGAGAGATCCAGGAACATGAAAGTGACCAAAACCTGACGATTAAAACCTCCCTACATCCATTCAAGTCGGAACATTCCTTGCAACAAGTAACATCTGCGGGCATCCCGCCAGCGCCCGAAGCAGAATTTAAGCCCACAACAAGGTTGTATCTTGCCTTCGGCACATTGGCAGTGATCACACTTATGGTGGCTCTGGATGGGACAAGCTTATCCGTTGCTCTGCCCGTAGGTTCCTTGCCCATACACCCCAGTCACTTGCGGTAATCAATGACTGACTTACATGTTCAGATCATGGCACGCGCCCTGAAGGGCACCGCGATCGAGGCTTTCTGGGCTGGTACATCTTTCCTTCTCTGCTCTACAATATTTCAGCCGAGTTTCGCCGAACTTTCTCACATCTTCGGACGGAAACTCCTCGCCATGGTGGCTCTTGTATTCTTTCTCATCGGCGCCATCGTTGCTGCGACGGCGAACGGGTTTGGACCCCTTCTTGTCGGCAGGCCGCTCCAGGGTGTTGGAGGTGGCGGCCTCATTGGCCTTACCGAGATTCTGGTCACCGACTTGGTACCATTGAGGCAAAGAGGTCAATGGTTCGGAATCATTAGCGCAATGCGGAGTATAGGTTCTGTCACCGGTCCTATCGTTGGTGGCGCGTTTGCGCAAGCTGTATCTTGGGTAGGGCCAACGCTTCATAATGATGCTTTGCCCTGAGCTGACTGGTGATTAGCGGTGGATCTTCTGGATCAATTTGCCATTTGTTGGGCTCGCTCTTTTCCTGGTGCCTCTCACTCTGGTGCTGGCTTTTAGAGTTAGCTCGCTCGCAGACAAGCTTAGGCGGGTGGACTGGATTGGATCGGTCCTCTTCATTGGGTCGACAACCAGTTTCCTGATTCCAATTACTTGGGGCGGTGTGTCATACGCCTGGGACTCCTGGCGGGTTCTGGCTCCACTGATCATCGGCATCGTCGGTCTGGCTGTCTTTGTTGTCTTCGAGGAATACGTCGCCAAAGAGCCGCTCATTAGGCTTGACGTCTTCAAGAACCGAACGGCAGCTGCAAGCTATTTTGAAACAACCCTACATGGCATGATCCTTGGGTGCATCCTCTATTATATGCCTCTCTACTACGAGGCCGTCAAAGGCGAGACACCCATTATCGCGGGTATAAGCCTTCTCCCGGCCACATTCACTGTGGCTCCCGCGGCCATGGTCACAGGAATGGTGATCTCTGAAACCGGCCGCTACCGATGGGCTATTTAGTCTGGTTGGGCACTGACCACTCTTGGGACTGGTATACTCTACTTGCTTGACGTCAACACGAAAACAGTCCAGTGGGTATTCCTCAATCTCGTAAGCGGTTTGGGAATGGGCGTTCTCTTCCCCTCAATGGCTTTCTCGATTCAAGCAGCCACTATAAACAAGGACCTCGCCTTCGCCGTCGCCCTGTTTTCATTCTTCCGTGCCTTCGGCCAAGCAATAGGCGTCGCTGTCGGTGGTGTGATCTTCCAAAACCAGCTCAAAAAGAAGCTCTTGACTTACCCGCTTCTCGCCCCCATGGCAGGTGTCTACTCAAGCGATGCTTCGGGCTTAGTGCAAATTATCAAGACGATGCAGCATGGACCCCCGAGAACGCAACTGATTCAGATTTACGCTGATCCTTTGAAACTCGTGTGGATTGTGATGTGTGCCTTGGCAGGTGTGGCTCTCCTGTCGAGCTTCCTGATAAAAGGGTTCGAGCTGGATCGTGCGTTGGAGACGGAGCAGGGGTTTCAGGTTGAAAAGACGGCTGTCGATGAAGAGAAGTGAAGGTGAATGGTGATATTCAATTACTAGGCCGTTTTGGTGTCGCTGGGCATGATATCGAGGGCGCTGTTAGGTCTCAGGACTGGTATATATGTACAGAATATGTATAGAGATGTTGTATAAATTTACCAGTACTCATCTAGGCATCTTCTGCGGAACGACCTATAAGTCAGTCTTCTGTGTTAACACGCAGAGCACAACAGTTGATCAGCTGGCAAGCTGTCAGTAAACATGGGAGTCATGGAGACTGGCCTCCTCTACATTATACACATCATTGAATATGGAAGCCCAAAAGATCTGACCACCCATGTAAGAGTCACCCAAAGAAAATGAAAATGTTTCGTCGGCAATCACATTGTTGCCCAGGAGAGATATTGGTCGATCATCGAAAAGTGTCGCCACTGCCGATGATGTGGCGGAGTTGATTACGAGGCGAGCGTCGTTACGTTTCTTGAGCCGCGCTGGAAGCGAGTCCCGCAAAGGGAACGTCATTGAAGATATAAGTTTTACCAGTCGGGCCTAGAAATAAGCAGACATTCTTGGAGCCTACACACCTTCTGAAATCAATGTCAGTGCTCATCGCATAATTCCTCAAAGCTCCCGTGCCCGTATCCCGGAGCAGGCGCAAACACAGCTGAACCGTGAAGCCCAAAGAAAACCACCATGGTATGAGGATGGCTCTCCGACTGTCCGACTTGCCCAATTTTTAGGAATAGACTAATCCGGAGCTTCGATAGGCAGTAACAAAGCGCGCCGGCCGCAAGAAGGACACTAGCAATGCGCAGGCGGCCAGCAGCGGAGGGGGAAAGCCTCAAGTTCGAAAGGCCGCCTTTGAGAGCACCAAGAAGAAGGAGGTCGGAGTCTCAGATCTTACACTCATTAGCAAGATATCGAACGAGGCTATAAATGACAATCTGAAGAAACGCTTCGAGAATGCGGAAATCTACGTACGTTGGCTGGGCACACGGTTGGAAATGCAGGTGGGACGGCAGTGCTGATTTGGATCGCAGACATACATTGGCCATGTGCTGGTATCCGTCAATCCCTTTCGAGACCGTGAGTTCCTCTGCACCTACAAGCAAAGGTGGTAAGCTGACAACCGATAGTCGGCATCTACACAGACTCGGTGTTGGATTCCTACAGAGCCAAGAACCGACTCGAGGTCCCTCCCCACGTCTTCGCAGTCGCCGAATCAGCCTACTACAACATGAATGCCTACAAAGACAACCAATGTGTCATCATTTCCGGGGAGTCAGGAGCAGGAAAAACAGAGGCGGCGAAACGGATAATGCAATACATTGCCAACGTGTCTGGAGGCACTGATTCGTCGATACAACAGACTAAAGACATGGTCCTGGCTACGAATCCGCTACTCGAATCTTTCGGGAATGCGAAGACGTTGAGGAATAATAACTCGTCGCGATTTGGGAAATACCTGGAGTTACAATTCAATGCGCAGGGAGAACCGGTTGGGGCCAACATCACGAACTATTTGCTGGAGAAGACAAGAGTTGTCGGACAAATTACGAATGAACGAAACTTCCATATTTTCTACCAATTTACGAAGGCTGCATCTTCGAATCATAGAGGTATGGTGCAGAGCTCAAAGGCAATTTTGCGCGGCTAACACGATGCACAGAGATCTTCGGGGTTCAACAACCCCAGTCATATTCGTATACCAGCCGATCGAAATGTTTTGACGTACAAGGAATAGACGACGGCATGGAATTCAAGGATACACTTAATGCTATGAAGGTCATTGGCTTATCGCAGGGCGAGCAAGATAATATTTTTCGAATGTTGGCTACCATCTTATGGATTGGGAATGTCACATTCCGGGAAGACGACAATGGAAACGCAATGATCACTGACCAGTCAGTGGTAGACTTTGTAGCGTATCTGCTGGAGGTCGACGCTGCGCATGTCAATAAGGCTTTGACCCTACGAGTCGTTGAGACTAGTCGTGGAGGTCGCCGAGGGTCTGTCTATGAGGTGCCCCTGAACCCGACCCAGGCGACGGCCGTACGAGATGCCCTGGCAAAAGCCATATACTTCAACCTCTTCGACTGGATCGTTGACAGAGTCAATGCGTCGCTCAAGGCGCGTGGGTCTGTCGCAAATTCTGTGGGTATTCTGGATATATATGGATTTGAGATTTTCGAGAAAAACAGCTTTGAGCAGCTTTGCATCAACTACGTTAACGAAAAGCTTCAGCAAATCTTCATTCAGCTTACCCTCAAGACCGAGCAAGAAGAGTATGCAAGGGAGAAGATCCAATGGACACCAATCAATTACTTCGACAACAAGATCGTGTGCGAACTAATAGAGGAGAAACGACCGCCTGGCGTGTTTGCAGCCCTCAATGACGCCTGTGCAACCGCTCATGCCGATTCGGGAGCAGCAGATCAGACCTTCGTGCAGAGGTTGAATGCTTTATCATCAAATCCCCATTTCCAGCCCAGGCAAGGGCAGTTCGTCATCAAGCACTATGCGGGTGATGTCAACTACGCTATCGAAGGTATGACTGACAAAAACAAAGATCAGCTATTGAAGGATCTGCTCAACCTTGTGGGCGAAAGCAGCAACAACTTTGTGCACTCGTTGTTCCCCCACCAAGTCAATCAAGATGACAAGCGTCGTCCGCCAACCGCAGGTGACAAGATCAAGTCTTCCGCAAACGACCTGGTGGCGACATTGATGAAGGCCTCTCCATCATATATCCGAACCATCAAACCCAACGACAATAAATCGCCTACCGAATACAATACTGGCAATGTCATGCATCAGATCAAGTACCTTGGTTTGCAAGAAAACGTCCGAATACGAAGAGCTGGCTTCGCTTATCGACAGACATTCGACAAATTTGTCGAGCGATTCTACCTTCTCTCGCCTAAGACTTCCTACGCCGGTGACTACACGTGGACTGGTGATGCTCTCTCCGGAACGAAGCAGATTCTGAAGGATACGAGTATACCGCCCGAAGAGTACCAAATGGGTGTCACTAAGGCTTTCATCAAAACTCCCGAGACACTTTTCGCCCTCGAGCACATGCGAGATCGCTATTGGCACAACATGGCAATACGAATCCAAAGAGCATGGAGAAACTACCTGCGGTACCGCATCGAGTGTGCCATTCGCATCCAAAGATTCTGGCGGAGGATCAATGGCGGTGGTGAATACCAGCAACTGAGAGATTACGGCACCAGTCAAGTTCTCCAGGGGCGAAAAGAAAGGCGGCGATTCAGTTTGATCGGCTCCCGAAGATATCTTGGAGACTATCTCGGAGTTGCTAATAGTGGGGGCTTTGGTGAATTGATCCGAAAGTCTATCAACATTAGTGGTCAGTGTTCTCTCCAACAACACACATATTGCAGGGCCTAACCTGCTTGACAGGCCATGAGAATGTCCTCTTTTCCTGTCGATGCGAGCTGCTTATAACCAAGTTTGGGAGGTCAAGTAAGCCGAGTCCTCGAAACCTGCTTCTCGTAAGTTGGATCATCTTCTCTGTCAGTAAGTCTGAACTGACGAGTCAAAGACCAGCAAAGCTGTTTACATCGTTGTATCGCAAATGTTGAACCGGCAGTTATCAATCTCCTCCGAGCGGACGATACCTTTGGGTGCTATCAAGTTCGTCAGCACATCCAAGCTAAAGGATGATTGGTTCTCGCTAGGTGTCAGCTCGCCGCAAGAGCCAGATCCTTTGATTAGTTGTGTATTCAAGACGGAGTTTTTCACACACTTGAAAAGGATCATGCCTGGGGGCCTGAACCTCAAGATTGCTGAGTCAATTGAATACAACAAGAAGCCAGGGAAGCCGTCGGTAGTCAAGGTTGTCAAAGACCCAACAGTATCAAGAGACGACCTTTACAAGAGTGGTACTATTCATACCGGCCAAGGCGAACCCCCAAACTCGATTTCAAAACGAACGCCAAAAGGAAAGCCAAAAGCGGGGAAGCCCATCACTCAAGGGAAGCTATTGCGGCCAGGTGGTCCTGGTGGTGGGCCTTCGAAGCTGGCATCTCGGCCTGCTGCAGCACGACCCGTGCCTCAGCCCATGCCATCCCAGCCATCACAATCCAGAACTACACCCGCTCAGACACCATCTGTACGATCTTTACCTCAACCTACTACCGCTCAGCCAAGAGCTATTCCACAACCATTAGCTGCGGTTAACGGTCTCAGCCATGGTAGAAGCGACTCAGCAGGTCGAGCACCGCCTCCACCACCACCTGCTGCTCCTCCAGCTGTCAGGAAGGATACCTACAAATCTCTCTACGAGTTTTCAGGCCAAAGTCAGAACGAGCTCCACCACCTTACGCAAGACGAGACTATAGAAGTTGTACAGAAAGCAGACAACGGTTTGTTCCTGTCACTCACTGAATCCATCTCATACACTAATTATCCTAACAGGCTGGTGGCTCGCCAAAAAGCTTGACGGCTCCTCTCAAGGCTGGGTCCCCTCTGCCTACCTCACACAAGACACCCCCAAACCCATCCCTCCCCCAGCTCCACCTCAGCCTGTCGCCCGCGCGGTTCCCGCGCCGCCTCCCTCTGCACCCACAAACGGCATCAACGGCACCGCCTCCCGCGCTCCTGCCGTCAAAGCGAAACCAACGCCTCCTGCGCCGCCGAAACGACCTGGAGGCGGCAAAAAACCAGCTCCCCCACCCGCGCCCAGAGATAGCGCTGTGAGTATGGGGACAGGTAGTGGCGGGAGTGGGGGGAATACGCCGGAGAAGGCGGATAGTGGCAGGGCGCCGAGTTTGGCAGGGGGTTTGGCGGAGGCGTTGAGGGCGAGGCAGATGAGTATGCAGGGACGAAAAGAGGAGGATGACGACTGGTAGATGTGAAAGACGAAGCCGCAAGAGCTATTCAAATGGCGTAACGAAGACGAGTCCGGCGTTGATGACAGCATTAGAATATGAGGCTCCAGCGTCTTCACGCTTTTTAGGTACGAAAAGCCTCATGAATCACTCACATCAACACCCTCACCCCCCATCCAAACCCCCTTGCCCCCCCACAATCCTCCCCCTGCCCACCTCCACGCCCTCCCACAAGACCCAAAACCGCGTCCCTCGAAACCCACTCCCCTGCAACCAATCCCTCAGCGCACCCGGCACCTCCCACTCCATCAGCCACGTCATCTCCTCCCCAGGCTCAACGACCAACTCCACATGCCCTTGCGCGTAGTACTCCTCCGCTCTCATGTGCAAATCGCCGAATTTGCGCGCGATGTTGCGGCCGGCTTCGTTCAAGGCTTCGTTGCAGAGGGTTTCGGCTTCGGCTTTGGGGATCGGAGGCGTGGGGTCGTAGAAGAGGAGGTGGAGGGGTGAGCGAAGCAAGGTGAGAGAGGGAGGAGGAGGGGATGTTGTGCTACGGTGGGGCGGTGTCAGTGTTTGCATTCCAACAAACAACATAGGTAGCAGTGGGGTAAGGGAGAGGAGCCGGGCTCACTGACTTGTAGGAATCAGGAAGCGGCGATAATAAGTTGCGTCCTGCGCCGAAACCCTCACTTGCCAGCGGTGATGCTTTTAGAAGCGGTGCTGGTGCTGCGACTGCACAAGTCCACAGCAGCTGGATGTAGATCGTGAGGCATAATGTCTCGAGCCTCTTTGGAGTCATCGTTGTCAATCAATACCAGAGGACATCGATTGGCTTCATGGCACAACGGTTGCGGCAAACGCTCCTTGGGGTCGACACGTCTTTTGGCGCTTCGCCGATCAGTCGCTCTTGGAGGCGCATGCCGCCCACGCGATTGGCCGCTCCGACCAAAGCACCGTGCCGACGTATTTTGCAGCCTCTCGATAGCTCCTGCTCTCTGCTCGAAGAAAGTCACGAGCAGCCTGTTATGTTAGTAACGATACCAGTGTTGTGCCTAGAGCAACCGTTTGGGCAAACCACCTCGCAGGGACCCCGGATGGTAATTCAACTCCGCTCTCCATCTTCCACGGACCCAGCAGATCCGCCCTCTGTTCACTTGGTAGCTCACGTCGCACGACGGCTGCGGGAACCATGGGCCGCGCATCCTGACCTTTCTTACCCTCAAGTACTAACAACGGGTGCTGGACGCCATGTCCTTCTTGCTCCCCACGCTCTCTTCGACTTCTTCAAGAGAAGGGAAGAAGCGCAGCGACGATGATGACGATGATCAGCACGCCGGGTGCAGCTCTGACGTCTATGCCAGCTTTGGCGCCGGTGCTGAGACCGGCAGTTGGAGGGGCGGTAGAGACGTCGTAGATGGTACTGTGATCAAGGCGCTGTTGTAGTTGAAATCGACGGCGAAGAATATAGGCCGAGGAATAAAGGCGTTGAGTTGCGGTGGCGTCAGAAGGGGCAAGAGTCCTGACGACGGTTCCAGCTGCATTGATTCTGAATCCGCTTGGTCCAGTATTACCGATTTGATCGCCCAAAGACCGTGACAAAGACGTCGAAGGAAATACATAACTGATTGATTGAGTAAAGAAGCACTTTTTGATTGTCAACTCGTGAGTCAGGTTGGAAGGACAAAGTAGCGATGGGCCACGGCAGTAATGAGGAAAAAAAATCCCCTTGGAAATCGCCAGAGTACCGATATCCATGGATTATATGTAACGCCCCAAACATCTCTTACCCCTTTATGAGGCCCCATAACAAGGATCTATTCCGACGTAGCACAGCCTCTATTCGGAGGGTAGACACCAGTCCAGATGTCGCACCTGTGCGAGATTCATGCTGCATTGATGTAACCGTGGTTCCAAACGGAGAACACCGATCATCGTTTAATACTCCCCTCGCAATCACCCGCCTTGTGTAAGTACGTGCTGTTGCATGTTGCCGCCCCAGCAATTGAGCAGGAAGTGTCAAATTGACGCGGCAACACCTTTGAACGGAACTGCTTCGCTGGACAAGGGAGCTGCGATTTGCAAAGCGGAATGAATTCTTGTTCTAAGTAAAGTACACGGTTGAATGAGTAGACATCTGAATAGACATCGTAAAGACTCTCTCTATGAAAGGTGCTGAAATGATTGCGAATGCTCGTAGGATGATGAATCGATAAACTCTACCTTGCTGCTGTCGCCTCGGCTCAGCATATTTCCAAGCACCAAATGCTTTTCTAGACGCCACAACACCTTGTTCAATGCTTGTTCGCTCGCTCAAGTACCACCCATAACCTCATCACCATCATCAGCTCCGTCCAGTCCACCTTCTGGTCGAGGCTCAGCAGCAGGTCCAACCTGGATCCAGCGTTTGAAGTCTTCGGTCTCTTTGTCGAGCTCGATACCTGATTTGCCCTTGATGAAGGTTCCCTTCTCCCCGAACATCGCGGTGAATCTCTCCTTCCTCTCCTTGATCACCTCTCCATACGCTCCTAGTCCTCGCTTTCTGACGGTATTGTTGTGCACCCACCAGTCGGATGTGTACTCTTCGTACAGCAACTTGTACGCACGAGGAGAATTTGGAGGATGCGCTGGTGGCTGGATCGTAATGACGAGACCGTCCTGGTTCCACTGTGGGACGCCGTACGTATTATTGTACTCTTCTTCATCCGCTAGCATTGGGGGCAGACTGCGCTTTAGAAAGGGCAGCTGTATATCCGAGAGTTTGACCCCTTCGGTCTGATCGCGCATGGAAAAGGTGGATATGTAGTATGACCATCGCTGGTGGACGGCGAGTTCATCGGTTTGGTACGTCTTCTCTTCTCTTTTGAAGAGTGAGATGATCACCTGCTTTGATACACGATTCTAGACAAGACATTAACAGGATCCTGAGTTCGAGAAGGAAGAAAATACTTACGTAGCGGACGCGAAATATATCACTCTCTCTTACATACCCCTGGACTCGCTTTCGATAGGTCAACTCCGTATTGTGAGTCGTTTCGTCCTCCTTGCGATCCTTGTAGAAGAGATTGATGATGTCAAGACTCTTGTCCTTATTGTCGCTTACGAGAATTAGAAGTGCGAATCTGAGGAGTGCAGCTAGCAGCTTATCGAAGGCGTATAATTGCCAGCCGCTCTCTATATAGTAACGGCGCAATGTCTCTTCAAGTTGAGAAAGATCCAGCTCGGACTTCACAACTTCCTCAATCATACTGACCGTCTGGCGGTAGTAGCTTGCTGAAGGACCAACATCGGCGAAGAATTCGCTTGGTGTCTTTTCAATCAATCGCAGATCGTTGGCAGCTTTGGCCATATTCGCCCGCTGGACATCTGTGTGCACTTGCTTCTCACTGAGCTTGAGGTTCAATAACCTCTGATACAAAGTCTCGAACGTTCTGAAGAAGCAATATATGTTGAGATTCGCGTAGAGGTTGAAGTCGTCACGTTTGTAAGGCACGTTGTAGTCTTTCGATTTATCGCCAGTGGAGGGGACATTCAACCAGCGAAATTCGCTTTCGTCCACGCGAGCAGGTCTGTCTGTCGGTGTACCCGTTGATGCTGGGGTATCCTCGTCATTAGAGACATCGGGTGTAGTCTCTTTGCTCTCTAGAACGCTTTCTTCCTTCTGACCAGGTCGACCACGCTCGAGAACTCCCCGCAAGAGATTTGACTTTCTTCCATTGGCGACTTTTCGACTCCGTGCAATCCCTGGGTCTTCGTTCGTGCCAGTCTCATCGTCGACCTCTTCATTCGATGGTGTCGCATCGTAGATGTCACTCATCCTGGCCTGGAAAGAATCACGGTCGATGTCCAGGAATGTTGGAATAAAGGTCTTGATGAATGTCTCAAGCCTCGTCTTATCCGTTTCATTGGTGACAGGACCGAATTGAAGCTGGGTCAGAATAAGATGACAAGCATCGTGGACCACATCGAGATCTTCGAAGCCAAACTTGAATTGGTAATTTGGCACGGAGTTCCAAGGCGCAATGCGCTGGCGTCGCTGCTCTTCCCATTTGACATGAATCTCGGTTTGAAGACTTTTGGGCTGGAATTGACGTTTGTCCGCAGTCTTCATAATGATACTCTGGTGGTCCAGGCTCCTCCAGAATAATTTGTTTGTCTGCTCTCGCCAGACCTTCTCCCACTCCCGCTGGCTTGCCTTCCATTCTTCACACTTCATCTTAAGCCTCCCAAGAAGTACCGGCACAACAGCTTCTGGTCTCTTAAACATGTCGTGGATGACTCTGCATCCACGTTCTCTGTCGTAAATCTTCTTGATAACACGCTGATATATTGTCTCGCTTTGCCCACCAATACCAGGAGGTAGACGAAATGTAGATCTCTCATCGGGAGTCATCATATTCAGCTGCTGTGCTATTGGCTCCAATAATTGAATTGTTCTGGAACAGGCTTCGATGTTGATGTCATAGTCATGACGCTCCTCTTCGATACGGTGCAAAGATTCTTCGAATACATTCTTGCGATGTGCGATGAAACCTGAATCTTCTGAGGCCCAAGTAGGATGAGACACCCATTCATCATTGAGTACTTGTTGACACATCTCATCTCGTCCGCTGCAGACCCGCAAGCGTTCTCGTTTGGGAAGCATTCGATAGCTGGGGCCTAGACCGCGGCAGTTGCTCAGAACAACTTTGTCGCCCGGAATCTTGGGTCGGTTTTCGATGATCTCGTCGCGTCCGTCGTACTGAACGAAATTCTTGAAATAGTTCATCAAATCGGCATTGCCGCCAATAAAACCGTGAACTTTATGCACGAGGGTATTCTTGTTGACGAGGTCTTGCGTAAAAAGGTTGCAAAGCTTGAGGAATTCGTTGTACGTCTTTTTGTCGGCAATGAACTTCCTGACACGGTCAAAGAAGCCGATTTGGTCAATAATATCACCAAGGTCTTTAGAAGGAGGCATGGCTGTGGGAAGGCTCGGGACAAGCGTTGGCGACGCAGGAGGTATCTCCGGTACTGTAGGTTTGGCTTGGTCGAACTTGGCGCGCTGTACACAGTTGGTGGTCAGTTGTGGAGGCGTTTTTCGACGTTCGTAGGGTAAGAAAGCATCGTTGAAAAGAAGAGCCATGAGGCCTATGACAAGCGCGTCGCTTGGGTAACGCAAAGGGAATAGTGGAATATTTGGATGCAGAGGGTGTGAAGGCTGTCGGTGGGTGAACTTCCAAGATTCGAAGATGCTTGTAAAATGTTGGAAGCTGCAAATGAGTTGCGTTATGTGCAGTACCCTTTCACATTGCGGAGTAATAATTGTGTTGGCCGACGTCACAAGAAAAGAGGAGGCTGGTGTTTTTCGTAACAGCAACATTCAGTCACTCACCTTATTTGCATTTCCTCGCGCACCGTTCCTGTTGTTCAGCCCACTGGGCCCCACTCCGGCATCAACAGCGGCGGCTCCGCCAGTCATTTGGGATCCCGGTCCTCCGCGTCGCTTTTTGTTTTCCTTAGTCGCTGATGGAGGTGCGAAATTGCCAACCGGCGGCATCTTGATGTCCGGTCTTGGCGTCTGTACTTGAGCCTGTTGGACTCCAGCGCCATACCCTGAATCACCACGAACATTACTGAGCATGGCTGCGTCTTCGGAGGCTTGCTTCGCAGCTGCTTGCGCTTTTGCTTGCGCTGCTGACTCCGGAAGGAATTGTTTGAAGTCTTCCAGAAGATCTGGAGCCGAGCTGAACAACTGGGTTACTTGTGCGTACACGTCCTGGATCGGCTTGGACTCCCTTTGATATGTCTGAAGAATCTCTAAAAATTGCTTGTAAATTTCAGGTTGTGTGGCAAAGCGATTCTGTCATCCATCATCAGTCAGCTACTCTTCGTGCTGGTCGGGTTCATCACGCGCTAACCTTGATTTTGTTGACATATCCAATAGCGTGATTGAATTCAACAGGACCTCTCTTTTCCAACCCTAGCTGGCTGCTCGAATTCAATGCTGCGACGTTCAATCCAACAGCAGCCTGACCAAGACTAGTCACTTGACCTCCGCCGGGAGAGATCTGGGCCATCGGATGTCTCCCTTGGGCCCCATTTGTCGCAACGGCCGTCACCGCGTTCGACAAGTGGGATACTCCTCGTTGTTCTTGCTGATGTGCTATCAGTGCGGCCTCTCCTTGGTCATCTCCTACATAGGTCGCCCCGGTTTCGCTGCCCATATTGGTCTGACTAGCGAACAAAGGGTGTCCTCCAGAACGCGCATTAGTAAGTGTTGTACCTAGGCCATCTTCTTCATGTTGTGGAGCCAGCCATTCGCCGTTTGCCTGCGCACCATCTGCATAGATTGTCTGTCGTGGGTTCTCTATTATTGAAGCACCATTGGGTACCCCGTTGACACGGTTCTGGACAGACGGCATCTGGGACACTGTGGTCCCCATTGGAGTCGTCACTCGAATCGCGTTAGGGTCGTCTCTCGTTCCACATTCTATTCTATACCCAGGGGGTAAGAATGTGTTGAAGCCTTGTATCAGCTCCGGATGACCGGCGAACAATGACGACACTCGATCAATCACGCCCGGTGTATCAATCGCTTGGCTCTTGAAGTCTTTCATGATATCCAGGAACTGGTTATACACGTCAGGCTGATGTACAAACCGGACTTTGACCTGATCCAGGTAGCTCAATGCATCGTTCAAAATGGGCTGCTGCCCTTGCGACAAGGCACCGATTCCCGTAGGCAGCTGCTGAGGAGTCGCAGCATTACTGAAGCCCAGCAACTGCTGAGGAGGAAGACCCTGCGCCACTTGCTGAACGAAGGGTCTTAAAGAGTTGTCGTTCTGTGCTTGCACTCCGTTGCCAAACACGTTACCTGGTCCACTTGGAGCTCCTAACGCAGCTAGAGGCTGAGATGTTGCTGCACCTACGCCAGGGTGTTGGTCGTTCAATATGCCATTTGGCCCGTGCAAAGTTGCTGGGACCCTTGAAGCCACAGGCTGTTGGATAGGGATGGCGCCAGTATGATTCTCGCGAGGCGATTGATGTTGTTCACGCTGTTGTTGCTCCCGTTGTTGCAGCTGTTCACGTTGTAATTGCTCGCGCTGTTGCTGCTCACGTTGTTGCTGGTGTAACATCTCAGTTTCCTGGTCGTATCGTCGCTGTGCTATCTCTTGCTGTATCTGTTGCTCCGTGTGCCGTTCCCTCTCGATGTCTCTTTCCATAGCCATAGCCGCTTGAGGAGACTGTTGCTGTTGCAGTGAGGGACCCAGCGTGGGCAATGCATAACCGGGAACTTGAACTGAGTGGTGTTGTATGCCTGGAGGTGATTGCTGCTGCTGTGGAGCAGGTGGTCCACGAGCAGACTGTATGATCACCGCTGGAGGAATGCCTTGAGGGTTTGGAAGACTGTGACCGTTTGACTGACCCGAATAGAATGGCCCTGAAAGAATTTTGTCAGAAATGTTTCAACACCCCAAATATGAACCGGAGTGCTTCCTGCATAAGGTGGACGTACCAGACTGTTGTAAGAGAGATGACCCATTCATCTGTGGTGCAGGAGCTTGATGCATGGTCTGAGGTTGACTTGGTCTGATGATAACACGATTAGCAGAAAATTTCACCCATAAGATGAAGGGTGCCGAGACGATCTACGCTGCGGTTGTGAAAATTTTCATCCACAAGATGATGGGTGCCGAGAAGATCTACGCTGCGGTTGTGAAGCTGGCGGCCAGTATAAGGAGTGAACTCACCCAAAGGTCGCAGTCTGTCTTTGCTGCCCTATTGCATGTTCATTGTTTGCTGAAAGCGCCCCACCTCCTGGCGCCGGTGGCCAGCCGTTGCCATTTTGTGGGTTCATCTCATGGACCGGAGAAGACTGCATTGGTAGGAGACCACGTTGTCAGCGACTTTGAGTCTGCATCTTGGTTTTGCTGCTTAACATAGCTGGCATACCTGTAAAGAGATATGTCTGGCTGCTATCCAACGAGACTAGGATTCACATATGGTGTGAACAGAATGTGCAGGAGATCGGAGAGACTTCGTGCTCTAGATTTGCGCTCTCCACGTGCGCTTTGGACCGCGATTTTGAGTTCTTTCAACTCAGAGGGAAGATCCAGGATCTGGAATCTGAATGCCGCATAAGAGCCTCAAGAGTGAGTATCAAGGTGCAAGGGAAATAGCAGGAGAAACGGGTTTGGAGAAGGAATGGTGGAGAGAATGTTGGCGCACTGGTGATGCTGGAGAAAGCTTGCAGGGGGCGTCACCGATCGGCATTAAGCTGTCACGTTGATCCCGCCGCTAAATCTTTCTTTATTGGAGAAGGGCGTTTTAAGCTTTCCATATTCATTCAAGATAATTCACATACATTAATCAGTAGAGCAAGTAATACATACGAACAGAAAATGAAGCGATTCTCGGAATTTGTTATTCTCTAGATACGTGAGTATTGGTTCCTCCACTGCTGACAGAAGTCCTTCCTGCCCCAAAGAAGCATAAGGGGAAAGGCCATGACAAAACTCCACGATCACGCAGAGTAAACAAAGCTGCAAGAGTGCCCCTGGACGGCAACCTGCGCTCAAGAAGAATGCTGCGCATCAGATCACCCATGCCCAAGCCTGAATATCGCCCATATCCTAGGCAAATTCCCATTCCAAGGCATCAAATCTTTAAAACTTGTAGGATCTCCGCGTCCTTTCCTTCATGACGCGTAATTTAGACAACCCTTGATGATCCACTGCAGGTCTGCCAGTCAGAAATTTCCTTTAAGTTGAGAACGTGAGTCATGAGACAGTTGCGGGAGTACATGTACTCTCACAACCTATCTTGCAACTCAAATGAGATTATGGATTAGGATATGAAAGGCCGCGGAAGTTGCTTACAACCTCTCCATTCGAAACCCTACTTGCTATGCTTGAGACTTCGACATTGCCCGGTTGGACCTGAATCACATTAGCGAACATGTTCAGATATGAAGATTGCAGAGAGGCAGCAAGAAGCCAAAGTCCGGGCAGGTGATCGGGTATTGTGCCACATGTGGGGGATACAGCAAAGAGAAGCGAATGCAAAGCGTTGGTTGGATGCCGTTGCGAAGAACGAGAGAATAAGAAAGGGTTCTGGGTTTGACAAACACACCATTTTTTTCCCCTCTTTCTCCTCCCACCATAGCTTTCCTCCGCCCATCGAGCCCACCTTTTCGCCCTCCTTCCATGGGCTGACGGGGACAATATGCGCCTCGACAAACCTCCTCAAATTCCTCTGTGCCCTATCCTCCCCCACCTGGCCTTCATACGCCTTCGCACCCAGCTCGTTGTAGTCCTCAGGATCCTCCCACGGCTTCCGAGGAAGCTTCTGTAACTCTGAGTTGAGAGGCGCCAGCACTGTAGTATTCTGATCTTCGGCATTCAAGCGCTTGGAGATGTTGTCTATATCTCGAGTGAATCCGGCGAAGATACTGATGACACGCTCTTTGCCTATGACATCCGAGATGCTAAGGTCTCCTGAGCCGCCGGATGAACCATCTTTGTCTTTGTCGATCGATGGGGGAAAGAGAATATTGGGGATGTTCATGATGGGGGATTGTCCCTTTTGAGAGGCAGGCTTTGTGGGGGAGTTGCCTGTACGGAAGAGGTCTGGTAGGACAAGAAGCTGGCACACAGCCGTTGATGCCTGGAGACTGAGAGTGAGTAATACCAAAGAGGCTGAGAACTTCATATTGTGATCTCTCAAATGTTATATATTCTCGAAGGCAGCTGGCTTTTGAACTGCCAAGGCGATGACGCTGGATGGCGCTACTCGTTACAAACGTTTGCGCTATAAAGCTTAGCATTCGTCTCTCAAGCTTGCAGCGTAAGCAACAAGATAAGTCAAGATCCTTACGACCAATCGCGATGAGAATATTGACGATGCAATTCAGAGCAGAATCTCAGTGGCGTTGCATCGAGGATTGAACATTAGAAAGAAAATATGGGAAAGCTTCGTGAAGAAGGCGGCGACAGCAATGGCCGAGAAAATTACACATCCGCTGATCTCGACTGCCAGTAACCACCCTGAAAAGAAGTGAATGGCCGCCAGCTTTATTATCCAACGAACATATCTAAAGCGACGCTGACCGATCCTTAATCTAGATCAAGAACATGAAAATTATAACTTATATAGAGGTCTATATCGAAAGTCCTACACCCGTATTAGTATAGTCTTAATCTTACTTTCAAAAAGCGATTTTATAGAGGAAAAGTCTAGAAATATCTTTTTATAGCGTATAAATGAGATATTAGATACTTCTTTTAACTTAATAGAGATATTAAATCTTAAAATCTAATTAGAGCTAGATACGATTTTAAAGAACTTTAAATATATTATTTAAATAGCTCTTTAGATAAGATATTATTCGAAATTTAAATATAAGAGTCTTAACGAGTATAGAACTTTCGATATAAATCTTTATATTATTACATCTAACGCGACGTTATAGAGATCTATATCGAAAGTTCTATATTCGCTAAAACTCTTATACTTAGATTTTAAATAACGCTTTATTTAAAGAATTATTTAGATAATTAAAAAGCTTACTTTCTTAATACTTAAGAGTTAAAATTTTAAATAGCTTCTACGCTAAGAGGCTAGTGACTAATTAGATCATCGGATTATATTATTTTCAGTCTAAAATATATCTTATTTCTTTATTTTCGATCTAAACGCGGGTATATACGAGTACGTTTAAAAGAGAAAGTTGAAAAAGAACTTTAAAATTCTTAAATCTATCTTTTTTAATTTCTTTTCTTTTATTAAAAATATGATAATAAAGTAAGTTTATAAATTTTACTAGTTGAAAAGATATAATATATTTTATAAAATATTTCATATTAAGTAATATTATATCGTACTCGAATATAATATAAATAGAGTTAAATATTATATTATTTTTCTAGTATAAATTCGAGATCTTAACGAGATATATTACGATATAATATATTTATAATATTATATTATAAAATAATATATATATAAGATATCTCGATTGAGATTTTTATATTTAGAAGTATAAGTAGCTATTCTAATTATTATTCTAGTTAACGACTACTCTTATTCGATAAATTCGATATAATAACTAATATTATTATAGCTAATACTATTATAATTAATACTATTATAGCTAATACTATTATAACTAATACTATTATAATTAATATTATTATAATTAATATTATTATAATTAATATTATTATAGCTAATATTATTATAGCTAATATTATTATAGTTAATATTATTATAACTAATATTATTATAACTAATATTATTATAACTAATACTATTATAACTAATACTATTATAATTAATACTATTATAATTAATACTATTATAATTAATATTATTATAAATACTATTATAGCTATAATTAATATTATTATAGCTATAATTAATATTATTATAATTATAATTAATATTATTATAACTAATATTATTATAATTATAATTAATATTATTATAACTAATATTATTATAACTAGTACTACTATAGTTGATACTATTATGGCTGGCACTATTATAGCTGGCACTATTATGGCTGGCATTACTATGGCTGGTACTACTATGGCTGGCACTACCATAGCTGGCACTATTATGGCTGGTATTACCATGGCTGGCACTATTATGGCTGGCACTATTATGGCTGGCACTACCATGGCTGGCCATGGCTACCACTACCATGGCTACCACTACCATAGCTACTGTCGAAATGTGACCCCCGCGCATCCCAGCCACCGTGTTCTTCAGCCACCTGATTTTGTACTGTATTTAGGACCTGGCCCCGGAGAGGTTTTGGAGAATCAATCCGTCCGTTCTATACATCACATACCTGATATTTTAACAGCTACCACTATCATGGCTATCACTATTTATTATTCAAATAGCCTACTATCATATGGTAGCTATGATAGTGCCAGTCATGGTAGTGCCAGTCATGGTAGTGCCAGTCATGGTAGTGCCAGTCATGGTAGTGCCAGTCATGGTAGTGCCAGTCATGGTAGTGCCAGTCATGGTAGTGCCAGTCATGGTAGTGCCAGTCATGGTAGTGCAGTATGGTAGTGCAGTCATGGTAGTGCCAGTATGGTAGTGCAGTTGGTAGTGCCAGTCGTGGTAGTGCCGGTCATGGTAGTGGGTGGGTGCCAGTATGGTAGTGCCAGTCATGGTAGTGCCAGTCATGGTAGTGCGTTGGTGTGCGTCTGGTGTGCGTTGGTGTGCCGTTGGTGTTGGTGTGCGTTGGTGTGCCGTCTGGTGTGCTCTGGTGTGCCGCTGTGTGCCAGCCATGGTAGTGCCAGCCATGGTAGTGCCAGCCATGGTAGTGCCAGCCATGGTAGTGCCAGCCATGGTAGTGCCAGCCATGGTAGTGCCAGCCATGGTAGTGCCAGCCATGGTAGTGCCAGCCATGGTAGTGCCAGCCATGGTAGTGCCAGCCATGGTAGTGCCAGCCATGGTAGTGCCAGCCATGGTAGTGCCAGCCATGGTAGTGCCAGCCATGGTAGTGCCAGCCATGGTAGTGCCAGCCATGGTAGTGCCAGCCATGGTAGTGCCAGCCATGGTAGTGCCAGCCATGGTAGTGCCAGCCATGGTAGTGCCAGCCATGGTAGTGCCAGCCATGGTAGTGCCAGCCATGGTAGTGCCAGCCATGGTAGTGCCAGTCATGGTAGTGCCAGCCATGGTAGTGCCAGCCATGGTAGTGCCAGCCATGGTAGTGCCAGCCATGGTAGTGCCAGCCATGGTAGTGCCAGCCATGGTAGTGCCAGCCATGGTAGGCCAGAATGATGACTAGAATAGCTACTTATACTTCTAAATATAGAAATCCCAGTCGGGATATCCCATACATATACCATACCATGGTATGATACCACAGATATACCATACCGTGGTATATACCGCCAAGATCCCATACCATACCAGGTATGGGATCATGCAAATATCAATATCTCATACCATACCAGAGTATGGTATGGCAGGTCAATATCCCATACCATACCATACCTTTCCGGCCAGTAAATTAAATTTATAGAGTTAATTATACGCTTTCAAATAGTGTAGCGTAGACGAAATTTGATAAAGTATTCGTAAAGATATACTAAAAAACTAGTGAATTATCGAGCTTGCGAGAAGAGCCTCTCCGGCAGAAGCCCTCGGAGAGCCCTCAAAGAGTCCCCGGAGGGTCAAGGGGGTTTTAGGGGGTCTCCCCCTAAGTTTATCATAACTTCTCTCTCAATTCTCAGAGTTAGAAGAGGGTTTCCCCGTAAGTATATCATAATATCTCTCTCAATTCTTAATTCTCAGGGTTAGACTCCTTAAAATCTCTTAAGCCCTTCGGAGCTCTTTAAGGGCTCTCCGAGAGCTTATATCGGAGGGGCTGTTAAAGCAAGCTCGAAATTAATCAAATATCACTAAAATAATCAAATTTCGAGCTTACTTTGACAGCCCCTCCGATACAAGCTCTCGGAGAGCCCTTAAAGAGCCCCCGAAGGGTTTGAGAGGTTTTAGGAAGTCTCCCTGAGAATCAAATATCCAAAATCAGTACTCGGCAAGCTTTCCACTACTGGGAAGCCCGCGCCCCAGCATATATTATATTTAAAGTTTTTTAAAATCGTATCTAGCTCTAATTAGATTTTAAGATTTAATATCTTTATTAAGTTAAAAGAAATATCTAATATTCTATCTATACGCTATAAGAAGATATTTCTAGACTTTTCCTCTATAAGGTCGCTTTTCGAAAGTAGAATTAAGGCTATACTAATGCGAATATAAAACTTTCGATATAGACCTCTATACTATTATCGCGATCGCAGTTTTAAACTATACCCCTATATTCTTAATCATTAAGAAATCAAAAAGTTCTCGCAAGCACTCCCCCTCGAAAATCAAAAATTGAAATTTCTTGAATATCTTTACAATCATTACTCTTTATAATCTATAATTTTTAATAATCCTTTCTTATAATATCAAATAATTAATTTTAAGAATTTTAGAAGATTTTAATTTCGATATTATGAGATATAATAGAAATTAAGAATATACGCTTTACGTTAAAAAGTTACCTCGGCTATTCTATAATCGCCAAGACTTATCTAAAAAATCTTGAGATTTTTAAAAGATTTTTATTTTACTATATAGTAGATAATAAGAATATTTTAAAAATTAAAAGTCTTGAAGTTTATTATATTTTCTAATAGTTGTAAAGTTTTTAAAAAATTGTAATTTGTCGTTGGGAAGTTATTCTAGAAGTTTCATTTTTCAATTTTCGAGAGGGGGGTGCTTGCGGGAACTTTTTGGTTTCCCAATGATTAAGAATATAGGGGTAATCCGCTTTTACAGCAGCGCGGCTCCGATGGCGAACGAAGCGTCGTACTTATAGCATCGTGACTATAACCCACCCTCTCGCGACCAAGAAAGAGCACTGGCGCGGCCTATTTGCATGTTCCGCAGGTTATCAATGCGAGTAAGAACTTCATTCGCAATCAACGACAGAAGCATCATCAGAGTCAAATGGAACCCCTGTGAGCCAATTTTGAGAGGAGTGTGAAGTAGCGCTACCTCTTCCGCTTTTCTCTTCTATTTTACATCCTATCACTGAAATAATTGATCGTGGACTCTGATAATTCTTTGAGTTTCTTTTACTTGGCCCTCGGCTTGACTTTGATGTAGAAATCAACAGGTCTCAGGTTGAACCAGCCATCCTGTTTTAGCTGGTAGCTTGGGTCGGCCATTTCGATTCCCACGTCTTTCAGTATAGTGACAAGTGTAGTCATGTTCCACATCCATGCGTAATCTTTGCCAATACATACGCGTCTGCCGTTTCCAAACCATTTCTTGCTACCTTCGGGCAGCTTTTCAAACGCTTCGCCCACCATTGTTTCTGGGTTGAAAGTTTCGGGCCTTTCGAAGACGGCTGGGTCGCGATTCACGCCATGCAGCACAATGATCAAAGTCTGCTTGGCTGGGACATGATATTTGCCTCCACCTAGCAGAATTGGTCCTTGTGCGTCTGGCAAGGGCTCAATGTTGAACCCAGGTGCCGCCGCAGACAAACGTAGGCTTTCTCGTACGATTCTGGCGCAATATGGCAAGCTTTCCAGATGATCATGTGTGAACTCGCCATCACCGATGACCGAATCGATCTCTTCGCGGGCTTTCGTAACACACCCTGGATTCTTGAGCAGATAATAAATTGCACTTGAGATAACGCAGGGCGCCGTACTGGATCCGATGGGCATCGTCACAATCTCGTCGATAATCTCCTGTTCGCTAAGGGCTTAACCTGTTTCGGGGTCTTTGTCGTTCATCATGGAATACAACATGTCTTTTCGGTCAGCTGGATTGGGTTTTCGATAGTCAAGACATTCAGCAGCATATTGACGCATGGCTTTGGTGTCTTTCTCGAATTTAGATTGATAAAAAAAGCCAGTTTACAAGTCTGGGTCGAGTTGGTCGCTTGATCGCCTCCGACGTGGCTCCGTTCATCGCATTGATCATTGGTGGTTCTGGTCCAGTCAGGCAATTGAGCTTCCTGCCGTAGAAGTAGAGAGTGGTCGTTTCCAAGTCTAGCCGATGCAATAGACCATTGCTGAAACCGGAGAATCACCGCTCAAGGCCCGCCATTTCGCTGTCAATTCGGATGCACAATCACGCACTTGAATAAAACGATCAGCAACAGCTGCTGGAGTGATCAAGGGGGCCAGAATTCGATGATGAACGCCTCAGCTCGCCTCATCGTCGAATGCGGAAAAAGGAGAACTGTGCTCTGCATATCGGATCTCGACTGTGCAATCGACGAATTTGCGAAAGCGCTTCTGATCGCATATTTCTTCACAGAGAGCCACAATACCCACGAAGACAATCTGTTGGCCCAAGACAGTTATCTTGAAGATCTCGCCTGACATTACGATATCAATTGATGGAAACGCAGGATCGGGGCAAAGATACAATCACCGTACTTCTCCCACAGCTTCTGCAACGACGTCCATGTGTTGCTTGGATCCACGTCCAAAATGTTTCCCCACAAGGGAATGCCTGGTGGCTGTGGGATTTGCGTAGTCATCATTACGGCTGCTGCCAAACCCGCATGGGTAATAGAGATTTTGCAGAAGAGAAATATGGGCGTTGCAGAGACAGGAGGGGATGGTGGATTGGTAGCATACACGATCGCCAATAGGGGTCTTTCCTGAATCGGACTTACCCAGGGCCCCAGATTCTTGTCAATTTGGTATAGCCCAGATGAGGTGCACTGTTGCGGTGTTACTACTACAGCTGGGGATGCTGCAGCCATGCAGGCTAGCGATCAGAACAAGCGACAAGTAGCAGCTGCCCGCCGCCCCTGCTCCTCCACATACTCACCACCCAAAGCTCCAAGTCAATCATGCTACGATGGCGGATCGTATGGAGGAATGTTTGGTAAGAGACCTAATGGGCACAAAACACAAAGATTCGCAATAGTATTAGGATGCCAGGTAGATATTCTTTGGTGAGGAATCTTGGGCAGTCGGCGACCTCGAGTGGTGTCGACAAAACTAAGTACATTTGCATAGATAGTTTGAGTCACAAAGCTTTGCATTCGTGTCTCTCCAATCTTTGACGAACGGAAGCACCGAGTAGATTATCGTCTGCCAATCCTTTTTCTACGCTCTCTTGCAACCAACCACATGAAAACCACCATACCTCTCGGGTTTTATTACTGAGCCTTCTGCATCAAGCAAACCGCGCTCGCCTGCTACTTCTACGTCTCCTTTGGCAATACATGCATTGTCAGAAACCAATCCAATTTGTTGATCGAAAGCAGAACGTGTCAACTTTGCCATTGCCGTCAAATCTCTCTGGTATGTCACACTTCTCCTACTGCTCAGCATGCACATAACGCCCAACTCCATCTCTCTTTACACACCTATACCCGTCTCGCTTGGGTATGAAAATCACGCAATGATCGAGACAGGTATCATTCCTCGTCATCCCGATCAATAGTCTCACGGCCTCTTACTGCACCGCCAGTTGGTTTCCTTGCTTTCCCGGTGATGTCTTGCCAAGTCGCTCCAAACCTTCTACCCGTGCTGGCAAGTAGGCCTTCCTCTTCGTCCTCCTCAAGATCCTGATCAAGCTGATACGCATTCAGCTTGGGGGTTCGGAACAGCGATAGAAGAAAGATAACGAGGTACACAGCTAAAAAAGAACATTAGTCGGGGACGGGAATAGGTGACTACTTGCGTACCTAAGAATGCGATCTGAGCCCAGAAGGTCACATCACCGAAGAAAGAGAAGTCGATTGTGATGCTGTCAATGAAGGTACTGAGTACACTAGCAGTGCAGACATTCGCGGCAGCCTGAGAAGTAGACACTTCCGAGCAAGGCTTGATGGCCTTTCTGTGATTTGTGCAGTCAGGCTGATCATCAGGATGCCTGAGTGGACGATCGCAGAACGTTTGCGGGCCATAGTGGGCGTATTGTGGGGCAACCAACATGGCCACGGAGTATTGAATTGCCAGTGCCATCAACGTCAGCAAGATTGTAGCGAGAAGTAGCGCTTGAGGTGAAGTACGGCCTTTCCGAATCTGGAAAATCCTGAGCCAGAGGAATCGGATACCAATTGATGCCATGCCGACAACGGAGCTGAAGAAAAAGAAGAGCACCAGGAGGAGGAAGATGACGTAGTCGATTGGGAAGATTTTGGCAGACTTGACGAAGATCCAATTCATCGGGTTGAAGATCTTGTTGTGGCCCAGTACGTACCCGCAGTGGCTTTTGCAGATCGAGTTTTTCGCCTTGTCGATGAACGTGAGGAGCATGCACACCCAGACAAAGACTGCCACTAGCAGCAACAAGATGCCACCTATTAGCTTCAGAGGGCGGAACACAGCCTCTATCTTCGTCCAGGCTCTAAGAAGCCACCCCTGGCCCTCTCCGCTAGCCTCTGCTGCCAAGCGCTCACGGCGGACGAGAGTCCGCTCTTCTCTGACGAGGGCGTCGAGTTCGCGGCGATCCTTTGCAGGTAGTCCATCTTCCCGGCCTTCACTGCGCATTTCAAGTTGTCGCTGGCGCTCGCGGTTTTGTTCCAGCTCAGAGGCCGTATTCGCGCTTAATGTTGGCGCCGATATTGCTGGTGCCGACTTGATTAATGCAACGGGAAGTAGAGCGAAGCCTGCAGCGGTGTAGAGGGCGTAGATCAAGGTTCCAATGGTGATGAGCAGTCCAAGAGCGAAAGTCAAGGCACGTTCTCCATCTATCGTTGAGGTCGATGTCAGTGATAAAATCAATTGGACAAGACAGGTAGCTTGCTCACGGTTCTGATCCTCGATAATGTGCTTGAAAAAGTCTAGATCATAATGACCACCCTTGCGATCCTTTGCAATTGGCACAAAGAAGCCCACTAGGAAGATGATAATGACCAAGGCAATGAATGCAATGGTGTACCTGAAAGCCCCCCAGAACCTTGAGCCGATTGTCTGTTGACCTTCCTCAGACGCGACCTCATCGTATTCTTCATGCCAGAAGTAGGTGAAGGGTACGACAACCAGACAGAGTAATGCATCTAGAGAGAATAGGGTGTAGTAGACGATTCGTAAGGTGAGCTTTATGTTGTCGACTTGGTTCTGGGTAGCCCAATCTTTCCTGATGCCATGCTTTGAAGAGGTAGTAGACGAGACCAGCGCCACATCCACCGGTAAAAGTAGCACCGTGGCAAGTAATGAGGTGAGTGTGAAGATGGACACTATGGTCACAGTAGCAGATCGTTCATTGGGAGCCTGGTAGAGGTAGACGAAGATGGAAGCTATTGCAACCACGAGGACAACCACAACGGCGTAAACAACCCATATCAAGGTTGACTGAATGAGAGCCATGGCAGCTCTATGCTCCAGGATGGTAATCAGGAAAATAGAGGAGTCAAACTCGGTCGATATGGAGAAACGATGGCCGTTGGAAGAGAGGGGCAGGCCGGGAAACTTGCTTTGGCTGCATCATTGCAAATTGCACAGCCACACAGCACACCCTTGACGTCGATCATCATGCTAGCATTTGACAGCTCGAGTGTTCGACTGGATTGCCAGTTACCCTCTTCAACATCACTTCTTCTTCTACATCATTCACGCTCTGAACGATATTCTTTTTCACCCGAGCTTGATGTGCCCGTCATCGGTATCACGCTCTCATAATGCAGTGCTACACGGAGCTCACTCCTCCAACCGCAGTGACACATTCTTTAGCACTACCTTTCCTATCGGCCTCCGCGAATAACCTCGTCGTTGCAAAGACATCTCTGCTGCAGATTTTCTCGCTAAAGTCTGTCGTTACCCATGCCAATGACAGTTCAAGCCGCATTGCCCAGATCGCAAGCCAAAATCAGCGAGAGGATGCCAACGGTCCCGACTCCTCCCTTCCCCATTCTGCAACCGTGAAAGGCGATCGTCAACATACAACCAAGTTAGTATTGGTAGCACAATTTGAGCTCGCGGGAACTATCACCTCTCTCGCTCGCGTGAAAATCTTAAGATCTAAGTCTGGTGGCGAAGCTTTGTTGGTTGCTCTGAGGGATGCAAAACTCAGCTTGGTGGAGTGGGACCCAGAAAGATATAGCATTTCCACGATATCAATACATTACTACGAAAGCGAAGATATACTGAGCAGCCCATGCGAGCCTGATTTGGGATCGTGTGTCAATTACCTGAGCGTGGATCCAAGCAGCAGATGTGCGGCTCTGAAGTTTGGGGTCAGACACTTGGCAATAATACCGTTCCACCAAGTCGGAGATGACCTCGTTATAGATGACTACGATTCTGAGTTGGACGGAGAGCGACCAGATAGAAAGCAATCTACCTCCAAAGCTGCTGCTGAAGGTGGTCCAGATGAGAAGACGCCTTATGCTGCGTCTTTTGTGCTATCACTGCTGGCTCTTGACCCTTCTCTATCTCATCCAATACACCTCTCCTTTCTATACGAATATCGGGATCCCACGTTCGGCATCCTATACTCGCAAGTAGCCACGTCGTCAGGCTTGCTTCATGAGCGGCGCGACAATGTTTCTTACGCAGTCTATACTCTTGATCTAGAACAGCGCGCTTCGACGACTTTGTCGTCAGTCAACAACCTTCCATACGACCTTTTTGCAGTGGTACCTCTTTCACGCCTTGTGGGAGGAGCATTGCTAGTGGGCGGTAATGAGATGATTCATGTCGACCAGTCCGGCAAAACCAATGGTGTAGCTGTCAACGACTTTGCCAAGCAATCTACAGCTTTGGCGATGCTCGACCAGTCTGACCTGAACATGAGATTGGAGGACTGCGTGGTCAAGCAGCTTGGGCATGATAACAGCGACTTGCTGATTATACTCAGTACGGGTGAACTTGCCATCCTTTCTTTCAAGATCGATGGTAGATCGGTATCTGGACTCTCGATACGCCGCGTGCAACCCACGGACGGTGGAAATGCCATCCATACTAGTCCATCGTGCGCATCAATCGTTGGGCGCAGTAGGATGTTCGTCGGCAGCGAAGATTCAAGTTCATTAGTACTTGGCTGGTCTCGGAAATCGGAACGTTTAAAACGAAAACCCTCTCGAACGCAGATGGACATTGACGGCGACGAGGATGAAGTAGACGTTGATGAGGAAGAGATTGACGAAGACGAGGATGACTTGTATGCCGAGACAAAGCCTGAGACAAAGCGCCAGGAGCAAACCCTGTTAGTATCAGATGCCGATGCGGAGGAAGATTACACTTTTCGCTTGCATGATTCAATGTTCAACTCTGGACCCATGACTGGTATAGCTATAAGGCATTCGCTCGCTACAGACACTAATCTTGCCTTGAAGGCCCCGTCCAATACTGAACTTCTGATCGCGAGCGGGCGTGGTAGAGCTGGGGGACTTACAACGTTCCAGCGTGGGGTGACCACGACACAGGTAGATCAACCCAAGATCCAGAACGTACATGGCGTGTGGTCGATCTGTACGAAGCGAAGTCAAGAAGACGGCCGTGGCGATAGACACGACAAATACATAATTGCATCTGTCACTAACGACACAGGTGACGAGAAATCAGCAGTATATTCCATAAACCCCTATGACGGTGGTATTGTAGAACTATTGGAGACAGACTTTGATGCAGATACTGGCGCAACTATTGATGTCGGAACGCTGAATGGGGGAACCAAGATGGTTCAGGTTCTGCAAACCGAATTGCGTTCTTATGACCAAGGTGAGTCCGATTTCATATTCAGTCGTCTTGACTTCAGCATCATTGCGGGACGGAGGGGCAACAGTTGGTGGCCAGGAAGCCATACTACCGTGCTTGACGGAGCTCACCACACAGATGGAGATCACTATGTCCAATCAACGGCGAGTCGACGACGCCACGCAAAGTGCGTAGTGGCAAACATGGTGTTACATATGTCGATCATGTCTGATAGCATCAATACAAAATACATTTCCGCCACCATTAGCCCATTGTATCCACCGTGCTTGCAGTGCTATATCGACATGTGCCCCGGAACGTTCGCATTGATCAAACAGCTAACTATCTCAGACCTCGGTCTTGCTCAGATCTACCCATTAACGGATGAAGAGAGCGATACTGGACCTAAAGCCATCAGCGCAAGCTTCGCAGATCCCTATGTCTTACTCATCCGAGACGATTCTAGCGCTGTTGTCCTAACAGCCGATGAGAACGGTGATCTTGACGAAGTTTCGCAATCAGAAGCATTCAAAGCTGGCAAATGGTTGTCAGGCTCGCTGTACGAAGACTCCAATGACATCCTACGACTGGAATACCCAGAAGAAAGTGAAGACGAAGCAGGCAATGTGCTTATGTTTCTATTGAACGCAAAAGGAGGCCTACAGGTTCGTCGAACACTCCCATCTTATACCTCTTTTTAGGACTATACTTTTCATACTTCCTGACTGAGCTAATCGGTCTTGATAGGTATATCGTCTGCCAAATTTAAACAAACCCGTCTACCTCGCAGAGGGTCTTAGCTTCTTGCCGCCTTTCTTATCCCCAGAGTTTAGTGGCCGTCGCTCCTCCGCCAAAGAGGCTCTGACCGAGATCTTGGTAGCAGAGCTTGGAGATTCCACCCATAAATCTCCATATATGATCGTATGGTTTCTCTTTGCAGCGCAAGATCCACATTCTGACTGAGTCCTAGCTTCGCTCTGCAAATGAGGACCTCATCATCTACCAGCCATACCAATCACCCATCGAAGGTAGTAAAGACACATCACTTAGATTTCTTAAGATACCGAATCCGCATCTACCGAGGACGCCGAAGGAAGACCCCGCAGACGTCGAAGAAAGAGAACAAGAGCGGCGTCAGCCTCTTCGATCACTGCATGACATTAGCGGCTACAGTGCAGTATTCATGCCAGGACAATCTCCGTGCTTCATCATTAAGTCTGCGTCCAGTCCACCAGGAGTCATCGATATGTGTGACGGCTCGGTCAAGAGCCTGACTCAGCTGCATTCATCGACCTGTCAGAAAGGATTCCTCTACATCGATGGAGAAGTAAGCCGAGCATGATCAAACGTCAAACATTTTTGCTGACCGAAACCAGGGCATAACTCGCGCAGCTCAACTTTCTTCGCAAAGTCGGTACGAGACAGGCTGGGTTACAAAAAGAGTCCCACTTGGTGAAGAGATCCATGCCCTTGCCTATCACGAGGAGATGGATGCCTATGTCCTTGGCACATGCACCATCGTCGATTTCAAGCTACCAGAAGACGAATTTCATAGTCATTGGACTGCTGAAGGTATACATACAATGCACAACCGACGAGATAGTATGCAGCCCGGCTGACACGGTTAGAAACCGCATTCCTCCCTCAAGCTGAACAAGGCTCCATTAAGCTACTAGACCGCAAAACTTCATTAATCATCGACCAGTAAGTCCTATGCCCACTTCATTGCAGCGGGGCGAGGGCAGCTAACCAAGTACCAGCCACTCCCTCTCTCCCTCTGAAGTCGTAACCTGCATCCAGACTCTCTCCCTCGAAGTCTCCGAACACACCCACGAGCGCCAAAATCTCGTCTGCGTCGGCACGGCCCTGCTCCGCGGCCCAGACCTCCCCTCTCTAGGCAACATCTACATTTTCGCCGTTATTCCCGTCGTGCCTGAACCCGACCATCCAGAAACCGGTCGTGCCCTCAAGCTCATTGCCAAAGAAGAAGTCAAAGGCGCCGTGACCTCCGTCTCTGGAATCGGCACGCAGGGATTCTTACTAGTAGCACAGGGGCAGAAATGCATGGTCAGGGGATTAAAAGAAGATGGGTCACTGTTGCCCGTGGCGTTTTTGGATATGCAATGTTATGTTAGTGTGGTGAGGGATTTGGAGGGAACGGGATTGTGTTTAATGGGGGATGCCGTGAAGGGGGTTTGGTTCTGTGGATATACGGTACGAGACTCCTCCCCAATACCCCGTTACAGTCGTCACCCACAGAAGAGATGCTGACCAAATTGGCTATAGGAGGATCCATACCAACTCCGTCTCTTCGGCAAATCGCCCCACGCAATCGAAGTGATAACAGCCTCCTTCCTCCCTTCGGACAAACAGCTCTACATAGCCGTCGCGGACGCAGACTGCAACATCCACATTCTGCAATTCGACCCTGAGCGTACGTCTCCACTTACTCCCACACCTATCCACCCGTCTCAAACACATCCATATAAAAAAACTGACTGTGATGGTCACTAACGCCTCATAGATCCCAAATCCCTCTCCGGCCACCTCCTCCTCCACCACACCACCTTCCACACCTCCCACTACCCCTCAACAATGACTCTCCTCCCCTCCCCCTCCCCCTCTCCCTCCGCCACCGCACCGGTCTCGGGCCCAATACTCATAACGACCCAATCCGGCTCCCTGGCCCTGCTATCACCCCTCTCACCATCCGCACACCGCACACTCTCAAGCCTGCAATCGCATCTCCAGAACACCCTACCGCACGCTCTGGGGCTGAATCCGAGATCGTACCGGCTACCCAGTTCGGGGAGTCTGGGCATGGATGGAGGGATGGGACGGGGAGGCGTCGTGGACGGGAATGTGTGTAAGCGGTGGATGGAAGGTGGGAGCTGGAGGAGGTGGGGTGGTGATGGTGCGGAGGAGGGCGAGGAAGGCGTTCGGAGGCTTTTGAGAGAGGTTGCTGGGCTTGGGATTTTGTGATATCGGACATCTATTTCTCATTTATTTGTCATTGAGCTAGCTATGCGCTTAGATATTATAATTTCCTTGTCCTACCGATCTATGACTACAGCCATAAGCGCCATCGCTAACTGTGAAGCCAAAGCCTTGCCTGTGAATGCTATGGGTAAAAAGAGAATCGCCACATGTTCCTCGCCTCATACATGCAACGGACAGCAGTAACTCGGCTGCTACAGCACAGAGCAGCGATTCGGGTGATAGCTCGACGCTTGCCACAAACCCCCATGATAACAATCCAGCGTCCCCTCCACCAACCCTGACCACCTCGACGCCCACGAGCTCGAAGCCGACTCTTCCAAAGCATATAATTCTGCAGCAAGTTGTTCCCCGGCAAGCCGATCGCACGCCCCGTCCCGCAGCCCGTCGCCGGGCACGACGGCATCGGGCGTCGGTGCATGATGTTCCTCCATAAGCAGCGCGGGATCGAATCGCATCTGCGCCAAAGCATCTGGGAAGAAAGAGGCAAGGCGCCCGAGTCAGTCAGCGGCGGCGATGGCTGCCGTGAAGGCTTCAGGCGGCGCCGAGGAGGGCAAGCGCACTCTCGAAGGCTTTGACGACTTTGACATCTGGAGGGGAAGCATCAGCGGGGAACGGGATGGTGTGAGGGAGGGAGGCAGGGAGAGACGTAGACGTACAATGTAACCGCTTCTCCTCCAGACTTTCTTCCCTTTGCTGGACGAAGGCCATTCTCGTCCGTAGCCTACCATACTTGAATCAGCCAAACTCTCTCCCACCGGGCTCGGAAGTGAGCCGTCTCGACCAAGACCCCCCGAGAGAGAGAGAGAGAGAGAGAGAGAGACAAACCGCTTCCCAGCCCTCTCCTCCTCACCCGCAACGCCAGCCGTCGTCCACGCGTAAAAAACCTACTTGCCTCATAAGCCCCGACTCCGCAACAAGCCAAGAACCGCCAACGCCGGCGAAAGAAAGCAAGAAAGAAAGCGAGCCCCCCCACACACCTGAACCAACTCCTCAAACTCCCGCCCCACCCCCTCCTCAACCCTCCCACACTCCTCCATCCTTTCCCAAAACCTCCCCTCCAACCCCTCCCAATCGAACGCTCCGATCTGCTCCCTCGCGCCATCCACCGCACCGCTCTCCGTCCCCTCGAACCCCTGCCCCCCGCCAGCCGAACCGCCGTCTCCGACCGGGCCCTCGACGCCGGCATCCCCCGTCGCGTGGGACGGATGGATCGTTTTCGGCGGGGAAGGGTGGTGGAGCGAGGGGGAGCGGGGGGGGGGGGGGGGGTGGGGGAGTCGGGTCGAGGAGAGTGGGGGTTGGTGATGCTGGGTGGGAGGGGGAGGGGGGGGGGTCGGTGGTGATGGTGGTGGGTTTGGCGGGTGTGTCGTTGGTGTTGTTGGTGTTGGGGTTTTGCTCTTGCGACATGGTGGACGGGTGGGAGGTGTGCGGTTGGGTGGGGAATGAGGAGAGGAGGGTAAGGGAATGAGAGTCAAAGGGGTGGAGAGGAGAGGAGAGGAGACGGGGGATTGGTTGTTGTTGGATGGGGATTGAGAGGGGAGGTCGTCCTTTGAGGTATGTGGACTGAAGAGACGGGATTTTGACTGTGGGAGAGGTGTCCTACGTGGTCATTTCAACACACCGGAGATGTTTCCGTGAGCTCGAGCTTCATAGCCTCCACATCGGAGGTAGATTTCGTCGGGATTATTAGATTTCGCGCCTTCTGTTGCCGGAATATTTGATCCGACGTCTACGAATTACTACAAATATCGCTTCCGGCAGCATACACACCAATAAGATTGCAAATGATCCTAGGCTTTGCACATTCATTGGTGGTTGCTCGCATCTGTACATTATAGAGAATGGACTGCTATCTGGTCCAACATAGGATTAAGTAGAACGCTCAAGAATGGGGATGCCTTCGTAGGGCTTGGAACCTTTTGAAACACACAACTCGATATTGAACACCATGTTTTCTCCTACTGAAGTCATACCAAATCCAGATCCATCATCGTTGAGACGGGCAGATGGCCTCCGTTGTTGCACCCGCTGATCAAACTTAACTCAATTCAAAGATATGCCCCGGGGAATACCGTTTTCACTGACACCGAACGCCATACAATCTCGAATATCATTTCATCGCGTTATCGCTGGCCAGCCTCAAGTTGACCCGGTGTCGTAGTGGCACCGTTGTTAATCTCCGGGGCCCCACCTCCAACATTATCATTGCCAGAATCATTGTTCCTCCTGAATGGGTTTGACACGCTGGGCATCGAAGGAGTCATGCCTCGCATTCTCGACCTCCAGGTGTTTGGCTCTTCAGTCTCGATCGTGGTCGCGTTATTGGCATTCGAAGCGAGTGCGCGCTGATTTGCTGCCGGACGTCTTGACGGGCGTCGCTGAGAAGGAAACCCGTACCGATCTCGTGCATTGTCTTCTATACCGAGATGCAAGAAGCGGCCAGGGAGCAGCATCCTTGGCCTACCGTTGCTATGACCCATGAAAGCGTATTGAGGTGGATTGGGCATATCCCCCCTCGCACCAGCAGAGTGGCGGCCAGCATGTCGTTCAGCATCAGCAGCGGCTTCGCCTTCTGGGCGTGGCTTCGCTACGTAGTAATCCGCTTTGCACAAGGGACAACAAGCACGACGGCTGGTCAGCCAGGGGTCGAGACAGCTAGCGTGGAATGCATGGCCACATGTCAATCCTCGAACGTCGTCATCATCTTCGAGAGTGTCCAAGCAGATAGCACAGGAGTCACCAGGATTCGCCAGCATTTCGGTAGGAACAGCCATCTGGATCTGATCGTCATCATCGAGCTCTTCCTGTGTTTGTTCTTCCGATGAAGTGGCGGCATTAGGCGTAGCTTCAAGTGTCCCTTTCGCGTCTTCCGCTTTCACTTCGGACTTCTTAGTCTCTGCGTCGCTCGGTTGCTGCTCTTCTGGGGCCGCGAGGGTTTCGGGAGCCTTTGTAGATCGTGGGCTGTCCTTATTCTCCTCCGTTATATGGCTTTCTGCGGGGGTTTGTGGTCTCTTCACTTCTTCCGATTGTTTTGCCATTGGTATCGCTCCATCAGCATTTCTCAGACTGGCGGCCCTACTTCCCGAAGGAGCAGCAACTCCCCCAGCAGTAGGTAGACCTTCTTCGGCACGTGTAGTCATCCATGCTTTGTATTTCATTAGAGGAAAGCGCTCGTTGACTTCCTCCATTGACATCAATTTTTTCTCTCTTCTCCGTCTGTGCGTCCTCGGCAACGCCGTCATGTCTATTGGTTCGCCATTTTCGTCCTGTTGCGCCCGACGATTCCTTTGATTGTACCTGAAGCAGTACTTGACACCTACGATAATCCTACGAGTGGGTTGTTAGCTCATATTGTAATTCAGATAACTTGAGTAGGGTGAATGGTCATTCGAATCCGGATGCGCCGCGAGACTTACCATAGATTTGTGAACACGACGCCAAAGCCCAAGGCCACAAAGAAGAGTAAGGGAGAGCTGGTCGGTCCTCCACCACCGGAATTGGGAGCGGCTGATGATGATGCTGTGGGAGAAGGAATCACGGTGCTCGAAGGCATTTGGGTCGTTGCTGCTGAGGTGGCCATATTTACTACCGTTTATACTAAGAGTATGGCTCGATTTGCTGAGGTTAGACTTGGCCGGTCGAGCAATTATACAAATATCAATGGTGGTGAACTGCAATGTCTTCCTTGAGGTAGAAAGTCGGCTGACGGAAAGCTCGGGGTCTTGTGAAGTGTTGTGAGAACCTTTTCCACGTAGCTAAAAGCGCGCGGTTGTCATCCAGCTCATTGTACGTGTCAAGTTGGCTATTGAATGAAAAGATTGAAGTGCATTGGGATAGGAAGTGTCGAATAAGGCGAGTGGGAGAGAAGGCGATGGGTGGTGATGGTGACGAAAGACGAGTCTGACACTTCCGTGATCTCCGAAGAGGGGGGGGGGGCGGAAGCCTTATGTTGTCAGGGTCACAAGAAACAAGACATAATTCTCAAGCAAGTATCCATAGACAGTAGTGAAAGAGATGATGTATAGATGAGATCAAACACAATTTCAACGCCGTGTCGCAGAGGGCGAATTACTGTATGATGAGTGAGAAGATAGAGCTTGGAGATGAAATGAAAAGGGTTGGAAGGGCTGGTGGCGGCAAGATGACTGGAAGCTTGGCAAAATTGGCCTTATTTCTCGCTTGAGCGGGAATTTCCCTAGCCTAACGCGAGTCGGAAGGCAACTAAAAAACCCCCTCCCCTAAAGATTAAGCCCGGGCCCCCCCCCCAAGCCGCAGGCCTGGAACTGGATCTTCAGAAGATGCTCTCGTGACTCTATACGATTACGACGCTTTGTTTATAATTTTCCCACTTCTTCCTCGCACTTCAGTAGGTAGTACCTTAGTCTACTTGTACTCTTTGGAGTCGCCCATATTCTAGGCGTAAAGCAATCAATCATCTTAGCAGTGTTGAGACTCGAGTTGCGAGGAATTACCTACTAGTATTCCCTTTGTTTGCGGGGTTGGTCCTCGTAAACTTCCTTTCATTGGACCTCTTCTCCCGCAGACAATCTAATCCCCATTCATCACCATCACCAGACAGATTCTCACCCAGACTGTCACACCACCAAAGCTCAAAGATTGATTATCTTGCCTCGAAACTTGATTTTCCAATCGTTCGACCAGCATGACCGACAGTGATGGCAAGGCTACCAATCCCGTCGTCTTCTTCGACATTGCGCTTGGAGGTAAGAGAATAGTATGATTCGCAGCTTGTGTCAACCTACATCACTTTTCCGGTCTATTGCTGCTGTATGCTGATCTGGCAAACATTGCATCTTCTCCAATGTTACTTGGCTCGAGCTGCAGGATGAGGCCATCTCTACCCTGCCAATTTGCTCGCTCAGGCCTAGTCCATCTCACCATCGTGGTCTAAGCCTCATCCGTTGACTCCAATTGGTCACTGTCATCGCTCCTCTGCAGTTGTACTTACCCCTCTGATACTTGCAGGGGAGCCATTGGGTCGAGTGAAGATGGAGCTCTTCGCCAACGTCACACCCAAAACCGCGGAAAATTTTCGCCAATACTGCACAGGTGAGAACAAAAATCCTCAGGGACGACCGCAGGGCTACAAAGGCAGCAAATTTCACCGGGTTGTATGTCAGAAATCGACCATTCCCTCTTCGGCTGGATGCTGACGACTATGCCATCTGGTTGATCGCAGATCAGAGAGTTCATGATCCAAGGTGGAGACTTCCTCAATGGCGATGGCACCGGCAGTACCTGCATTTACGGCACGAAAGCTTTTGCGGATGAGAATTTCCAGCTGAAGCATGATACGCCCGGGTTGCTAAGCATGGCTGTTAGTACTTCACTTGTGCAGGTATTGTCACAATTGCAGCGGATGCTCATGCTTTATTAGAACTCCGGCAAAGACAGCAACGGCTGCCAATTTTTCATTACCACTGTATGTCTTCCTCCGTTAGACCTCACAGTGTGGTCAAACCGCTGAAAGCTTTGTTCAGGTTCCCACGCCATTCTTGAATAATAAACATGTCGTCTTCGGCAAGGTTATCGACGGGATGGATGTTGTGCACAAGGTCGAGAACACCCGAGTGAGAGGCGAAAGCAAGCCTGCGACAGATGTCACAATCGCACAGTGCGGCGAGATGTAATTTAGTCACAATTTCATGAGGCAGAAAGCAAAATGCGAATCCAGCAGGCATTATTCAAGCTGTCGGTTCGCCAATAACTCTTGACAATTCCAGTACTGACAACTGCATAGTATCCTGCATTTCCGTCTGCATAACGAAAGATGCCTGCAGCAATGAGTCATGCAGTACGCAGACATGTAGACCCGAGAAGATCATCTACAGCATGGTACGAAAGTCAGATATCAAAACACTGCTCATCACCAAGGCTTGCTACTTTCCAGTGCTATCGACCCCTAGACGCTTCCGTACCTTCCAGCAAGCCTGCAGGCACCCTTTGAATAGGTTTTGGAGACCTGAACCTCTCCATCTGCGCAATTTTCCCTTCAACTTTAATTCACTCCAGTTCCGCCACGCTCAGGACCGTTCTTGGCCTGCCCGACACTTCTTTTTTCGCCACCGCAACGCCTTTTCTTCCCTACGAGGACCATAGATGCCTAAGGGATAGTGAAGAAAATCAGACAGAAGCAGAACATTGTCATTATCATCTTTAGTACCCCCTGGAGTTTTCAATGGGATATCAAGGATCTTGCTCCACTTCGGTCTTTCGCCCTGCTTCTCGATCGGCCTGTCCATGGCCCCACTCGCTTCCTGTGGCGGTTCCCTTATTAAATTCCACCTTTGTCCATCCCCAGGGTCCCAATCAATAGCATTCTTTTGATTGTCGTTGAGGTCCAACATCTTCAGCGTGATGAGGGTGCCTGTGTCGCTGTAACAACACTCAAAACTCGCCTCCCAGCCCTTGCGAGCCAGGCGCGCAATGTAGGTGTATCCCTTTTCAGTGCACGTCTCGGACATTCAGATATCCTGCTCTGGATTTTCATCTATGCATGCTTTACCATCAACAATAACGAAACGGTAGACAGCCACGAGTTGCGAGGGCTTGTCGATCAAATTCTCCTGGCCTGTATTTCCTCTGTCCGAATTGGTAGACATCCTTCTGCAAGTTCAATTTCAGAATGAACAGAATGTACAGATGGGAATGATTAATGAGGAGGACATTGTAAGCCTTTCTGTAGGGAAGTCTCAAGGTATAATCTTTCGAGATATTTGATTGCTGATTGCCTATCTATGTGTTGGTCAGTTTCTTTGTGTTTCGAGCTCGTTGGTTTCGATTGATACCGCTGCAAGTATCCACGAGCAAACTTGAAGCATACACCCTTCAAGCAAGCGGCTTCTCGAACAAGACCGTATCTTGTCCTGTCGTGCCGGGGCATAGGGTTTCTTGACAGCTCCAGCGCTATCACCATTCAAGACTCTACGGGTGGAGGCGGCTGGCGGCCCCGAGCAATCTAAGAAGCAGGACATCTTCCCGACGACGAACAAACACAGTCGATCAGCATTGGTTCTTGCGCTCGCTGAGACGACTCCGCCAGTCCCCGCACAGTGGTTGCATTCCAAAGGGGTGTCCCAAAATGTCGTCCTGCATAAAGCTAATACATTTGGTACACCACAACAAATCAAACGAACCAATCAGGGCTACGCGTCACATTTTGTGGGGTTTGCCCCTTCGCTGTGGGTGAATCCCCTCTTGCAACCTCTTGCACTGCACAACCCCTTCAACTGGCCAGCAACTTTCTTGCTCAAGCTCAACGATGAATCGAGCTGCGCAGGGAACGACTCCGTCTATTATCATCAATCGCACCATGTTCATCCGATCCACCTGCTCGCTCGGCTTAATGGCATTCAGTCTTCCAATTAGCATCCTGGCCAGAACTTGCAACGTCCCTCAAGTCAGAGCAGCTTCCGCACGGCTAGGGATGCACATTCACAAGTGCCCATCCAGGCCGTTCCACTCCAGTATCCGCACGCTACAACAATCCCAAGACAGAGACACCGCCTCTTCGAAACCCTCCACAAAAACCACTCCTCCCCCTACCAACCTAGAAAAGCAGTCGGCCCAAGCACAGGCGCCGACGAACGACGAAATAGAGCGCTTCATCCCCGGATTTTCCAACCTCGGCGTAGACGCAAAGCTAGCGCACATCCAAATATTGAAAAGCCTTGGGAAGTATGATCCAAAGTGGAAGCCAGGGGCGTACGAGGCGTTGACGATGAAGGAGAAGGAGATCCAGGACGCGGACAGGTGGTATAAGAAGGCGTTTCGGAGCATAGCATGGGGCCCGACCATCTTGATCCAAGCTATTATCGCTATGATCTCGTTCTGAGGATGGGGAACGGGATTGGGATGTGGAGAGGAAAGGGGCTGGGATGGGACGGGGTGGCTGCGGGAGATAAGGACAGAGGGTGTGATATGAGGCATTACATACTTTACTGCCGTGGGCAAGCCAAGCAGAGTATTCCAACACAAAAAGAGAGAATCATAATAGTGGTATGCCGCTCTGCCACCATACTTCCTCTTCCTCGAAACGACCCATCCACAAACTACGTTACTCGTCCCAGCCGTCAGCAACCAAGACAAGTAGTGGGGTCCAATCTTCGCCAGCTGCGTCGACATGCATGACATGTGGACCTCAAAAGAAAACGCACGTCGCTCACTCCATGTATCCTACCCAAATCTTCATCTCATCCAACTAAGTACTCTACAGAATTCAAATCCCCACCACCCTCAATATAAATGAATGAATGAACGAATGAACGAATGAATGAAGATCAGCAACCCAACCACCCCCTTCGCAACCATACTGATCCCGTATTCCAAATGTCAATATACAAATACCACCTACCCCCAACGATGATGTTGTTGTTCAGCAGCCTCGAACGGAAAGGGATTGAAAAAGTGGCCAGAAGCCGAGCCTCAAGGTATCTTGTGGCAATATGATTGATTAGTCGGTTAGTCAGTGTGTCTGGCGAACTGGTTGAAGGGCTCTTAGAAAGGAAGGATGGAAGGATGAGAAAGGGGGAG